AGAATTACAAACATGCTGGCCGTAGCCAATAGCCAGTAGCCAGTAGCTAGTACAAACTACAAAAATACAGCTTATGCTTTATAATTACAATAAATATTAAAGATAAATTTTGAAAGTTGAAAACTACAAAACATCACTGCCATCTCTGGATTCCTACGTAATATTAATAGTTTAAATCCGAGATGGAACTGAAACAATGAATAAATGCTATGCATTGTTGGGTAATAAAAACTACGGTCACAAATATGAACGCTTTATCTCTCTTCGTTACACAAGACTAATTAAAAACTTTTGATAGAAATTCATTGATCTCCGATTGTAACCTTGACCGTGACTCGTGAGACGTCTCAATGACTGCACGAATGTGGAATTTATTTAATAACATCATTGCTATTATTTGTGATTAATATTGTTTAATCAAGTGTAATTATTAAATAATTAACACCATTTCATATTATTGTATCCTGGTTAGACAATATGCATATAACACTTATGTATTAAGTTTCTTAAATGAAAGGAAAATAATGAAAAATGGAAACACTCTCTACTGTAGCCAGTATATTATTTGGGTTTAAATTTATCAATTTTTAATGAGGTGATTAGGTTCTTATGCACATTGCTAATTAATCAATAATAATTTTCTGAAGCGGCACGTATCTCCACCAGATCACGTATCACCGCGTTCAGCATTCCATAAATAATGAAATAACAAACAATATTTTCTTAAAACAGACATGTAATGAGTAACGACCCCGCGAAGAGAGTTTAAAGGTTCCAGAAGTTCTTTGAAATAAAATGATATTATCATTAAGAACATTTCTTAGGAACATATGGTTTGGGCTCTAATAATGTATAATACTTGTTTTGGTGGTAAATAATTACAAACCGTATTTAAGTAAATAATATTAATAACTATCGATACTAGGAGTCGAGTTCTTATTGTAAAGTATATTCTCGTAAATGTTTAATAAATAACCTTGGTACATGTGGTCGTTTAAAAATCCAAGAAATTAACAACAACAGATAACTTTATCCGATCAAGTAAAGGAATGTTGTTTTCACATCAGCTATTAAGGCTATCCTCGAGCCTGTTCGACTAGCACCCTTCAAGAGAACGCAATAAATATGTCGAAGGTACATCCAATTATGCAACTTTACTCTAGTTATAAGAAAAAAGTTTATACAGCAGTTGCCTGATCTGTGGTTACCCTCCAGCGTCAATGTTTTTTATTCTGTAGGAACATGGAAACCAATTTAAATTTATTATTTATGGATTCGAAATTTGAATTAGTGCAATATTAAATTTGAAAGGAGAATAATATGAGTTATTAATACAATTTACAGCTGCGTGGAAAATATATAATTACGGTTGTGAAAGAGTACCTACGAAAATATTTTCCATGCATTCCATACATCTGCTGTAGCTGATATCAAAGCAACAATACTCGATAGGATAAAGCTATTTGTTTTTAATTTCTTTTTTTTTTTCTCTATTCCAAGGATAAAACAGGATTTATTAGTTTATAATTCATAGTGCGTATAAATTATGATATCGAGGCAATCAAGTGTCAGGTGCTTTCAAATTTGCTCATTATTCGTTTTTAATTAGACGTAATATCTCAGTTTTCTGTATTACATAAATTGCTACCCTGTATGTTTATGATAGCACCATTGCGAAGCCTGAATTGAATTAAAAAACCAGTGGCACTCAGACTTCTACATATTTTTTAATAGGCAAGTAATTTTTACCGTACGAGCGAGTGATTGATGTGATTAGATTATTCCTAGACAGCTATTTAATAACTCATTTTCAACCAGTACCAAAAAGAGGGAGGTTATCGATATTGTAAATTGTTCTTTTTTAGTATTTATTTTAGTGACCTTGACCATGAATTGCAAAAGTTCAAGTCAATTTTCTATCTTCAAGCCAGTTCGACGAGCCGACTCTTAAACTGAACGCAATAATTTATCTGTCGATGGAGCGGCTAATGCAATTTCACTCTCGTTACAGAAAAGAGTAAAAGGTTTATGCAGTACATAATTGGATGAATTATCTTGAAGCGGCGTTAAAATCGCCCCATTAAATAAATAAAAATAAAAATCAATTTATTTGTCGCAAAAACCATTACATTTTGTACTTATACATTCTAAAGGTTGTAAACGTTGTAAACATACTAGGCAACGAATCGTTGAGATACACTATTCATTTTGGTTAACCTCATATATAATATTTGAGCACTAGCGTTTAAACTAGGCCTAGCCTGTATTTTAATCGCTAGTTCCTTCCAGTGTCATTAACAAATTGGTTAATTATTTATTAGATGCTGATATAAATAAAATCTAATAATCAATAAGGGCTTTATGCGGTCTTTGTACTTCTACTGGGGTATTAAATTTATACAATTACTTTTCAATAAAGATTTATCTAGATACGAAAACAATTACGCCTTGATACAGACGATTCAAATAATTTCTTTGAATAATGATGGCATTTATGATACGGCAACCGCAAAAAACTTACAACGAATAATAGTACTCATGCCTGGATAAAAACCTTACATTATCCAGCTGAGAGTCATGACTACGGATTAAAAATAGTTGATGAGAACCAATCGGAATACTCTATTTTGTTTTTGAAAAGCGCTGCATGTGATATGAGATGCTGTACTTAGGCTGAGCTATAAGATTTCTTGGTTGTGTATCAAAATAATTTTTATTTCTCTTATCAGATGAAAATGAAAGGCCGGCAATGCACCCACTAAAAATGGGTGTCTATGGGCTGCGTAGACTGCCCTTTTTGGTCGCCCCGCAAGCTCGTTTGCCCCCCTCTTATATATAAAAAAAAAGATAGAAAGATACCTAGAAATTACTATATTTTGTAAACCGGACGCTATATTTTAAATCTGTATTTTTTATTTTTTATTGGACAATTCACACCAATTGACCTAGTCCCATGCTAAGCTGGTGAAGCTTGTGTTATGGGTACTAGGCAACGGATATACATACATATTATACATAGATAGACCTAACACATATAAATACAAATTTAAACACCCAAGACCTAAGCACAACACCAAATGCTCATCACATCGATGTTTGTCTCAGCCGGGGATCGACCTCCGGGGTACATGGATTTGCAGTCAGGAGGTACTAACAACTAGACCAATGAGCCGTCTTTTTTCCTTGTATAGTTTCATGTAAATTCGTTCTATTAAAGTTATTTAAAAGTAAATATTTTTTTTATAATAATCATGTTAAATAATTGTTATTATTATACAACGAACTGCGTGTTACTTCTAAATTAAAAAAAAAACCATTATTTATATCAAGTGTTACTCATAAAAAATACAGATTAACAGAGAGTTATGAACTAATAACTCGTGAAGACGTGTGGGGATATTGAACTTGTATCGGTATCCCCCGATCTCTCAACAATCGTTATTAATGGGTACGAATTTATTCAACGGGTATTTTAAATTCTTAATTTATGGATTTGTTTATGCAATTCTTCTTCAAAAAATTCGTATTTAAAATATATGTGCCAACCCTAGTGAAAATATACGAAATAGACATTTAGGAATTTATTGATGATCAAAATCTTTTATAAATTTTTACAGGTTACAATTAGTGGCCTATTACCGATTTTTACTTAATTTGTTTTGTTTTAAATTATAATATATTTGCCAGCTACGTCTCTTAAGGGCTCTTAGGGGTCGCTCTAGGTTATCTTGTAGGTTCGAAGCATAGACCTAATACAAATTTGATTATATTTTGCGACCGGAAAGTGTTCTAAATTACGTAGTACTAGATATTTGCAAGATGAATGTTAGGATTAACTAACAGTACATTACACGATCTTTGAGACTAGCGTGAAACGAATTAATATAATATGTATGGCAAAAATGTGAACTCAATAAATGTTATTCAATGTGCAAATAATCTTTTGATATTTTGGCATATATTATCGTTCTTTGGGTATATATCAATAAATGTTTTGTAAATGTATATAGAAACGACAATAGTAACTTAACAAATATAATACCTACTGATAATTAGAGCTTATCATCACACAGCCATCCACAGCAGGTTTTAATACTGGATTTCTCTTTGTATTTACTGGATTACTTTGATCACTCTACCCCATCAGCTATTATATTTGTTTAAAGGTCATGAGTAAACAACCAGCCTTCGTCTCCACATACTTCACTAGTTCATTGCCACGAATAATTACAGGTTGATCTTACAAAAAGACGACCTGAACAAGTTTTGTGTTCTTTTTGCGTCTAGATGACACAGTGCCTTTAAATGAATATGCGAAACTAATTGCATGGGGTTATGTGATCGGAATGACTCGTAATAAAATGTTTATATTATATATAATATTTATCTCATGTGAAAAGGGAGACTACAGTTGTGTTGACGTATGTAAGAAGCTGTTTTGTTAGACATACCTACCCAGCTGTAGACTATTCCCCTTGATTGATCTAAACTGCGTAGCAATTAATAGGTATAGAACTAAAGTTATTTTGGGTACCAATCACTTATTATAAGTTTAACCCAAGTATATAAAAAAATGGACTTGAAAATGTTTCATGGTTTTAACGGTTATAAAATTAGAATAATCTTAATATAATCTCGAATCTTAGACGATAGGCATGCGATGTTCGATACATCTAATGCTTGGTTTCTTAATAATTTTGGTATTAACTGGACAAATTCGTCGTGAAGAAGCAAGCAGCAGCAGATGGCGAGTGCCTATTCTCCTCTTTTCTAGACTTTATTAACTGTGGTCTGGTGGGCTTGGCGTCTCCCGTCGGGTGAAGGGCTCCAAAAATATCGTAGTTTACCGCTAGAAGATGTATTATTTATACAATTTACTTTAAATAACCCTAATAATAATAATTTATTTTACTAGGTACTTATTATACCATTTTTGTTTCAGATAAAATGGAGAGGTGAAAAGCAGAATTTATAATCAGTATACAAAAATAATTATAAAGATGATTTGTTTAAAATTACAAATCATTTTGTTGATTCTGTTTCGCGACGCCTTGATGATTGACACCAATGGTTAGTTCGCTGAAAATAATAATAATAGTTTACTTACATCACAATAAAACACACGGGAGAAAAAGTGAGACAAAGGATGGAAATGGGCGGGCTTACTGCTTAAGCAACCTTTTCCAGTCGATACTTTGGCTGACAAATAAACACATAACAACTGATATAGCCGAATACGAATCGTTTATTCGTAAATTTTATATTTTAAATCTGCAAGAAAGAATTTTGATAGATGAATAAAGTACTAAGCATATCTCTATAGGTAAAGACTAGCTTAATTCAATGGTCGAACCATTTGCTAAAGATTATCTATCTGACTTTTTAGTATGACCACATTCTTAATAAAAAAATAACTATTCTGATTTCACTGTTTTAACTAAAGTACCTACTGATGTCTCCTTTCATAGCGGCGTTTTGACAGAAAGAGACAAAAGAGTTCTTTAGTTAAAAGTGTGCAGTTAGAATTATTAGTTTTAATGAATAAGGATATATTTTAATATTTATGATAGAGGTTCATATTTTATGACCGATATTATCTTGATTTAGACACTTCGGGATATCGCAAGGAAAGAGTTAACGGTCACATAGTAAAGCTTAATTCAAACAAACAAAATACAATTCATTGTGATGAAGAGGGATTTCGACCAGATCAAGAAGATTGTACAATTTACTACCGTTGCATAAAAGCGAATAACGACAAATATAACACATTTCGAGTAAGTATGATATTAAATTAAAACTGACTTCATTTATTTATTTATATTACGTACATCGTAGACGTAAGCAACTGGTATCAAGTCAAATTAAAACCATCGTATTCATCGTTTAAGTTTTAAATTATAAAATTATTATATAGGGGAAGGTGGGGACCCTTCGTACGGTTTTTCACATTTTATTTTTTAATTTTTTTAATTTTCCATGAATCAATCACCTGATAGCTTAAATTTATAGTCTAACTATCTGAGATTCAAATAAAAAAATGACAAATGATTTCATCCGATGTTTCAACCATAATTATGATTTAAACTAAATCTGGAAAACGTACGAATCTGCCCCATCAACGGGGCACCTTCGTACAGTGTTTGGGGTACCTTCTTACGCTGTGGGGTAGTTCAAAATTCATTTATTAGCAATGAAATTAAACACAAAAATAAAGATTTAATTTCTATTAAACAAAAATAAAATACTTTTCTTATGTAAAACAAAATTTAATTAGTTAGGTATCTTAAATTTAGAATTACATTTTTTACTCTTTGTGTGGATTACAACTTCTTATTTTCGGGTGTGGCAGTATAAATTCGTGGTTTTCCTGGCCGTCATCGTCATTTTGCTTGTTTTATTACTTCTTACAGAATGCGAATAGGGTCGAAATGCCTCTGGTGTCAAAACTGACTTCGAAGGAACTACTATTTGATGGATTGGTAAATTATTCACAGCATCTGGTTCACAAGCATCAAAATCAACCTTAGTCAAGATGCCTTAACAGTAGTGTAATATGTAGAAAGTCGAAAACTTAATTTGTATAGAAAAAGACAGTTCGCGTCGACAAATTATTATACAAATTTAGTTGTACAATTTGTACAAATGTGCCCCATCTAGTGCTGTCCGAATGTACCCCACTAACTGAATAACAACAAAATATAACTTATTTTAATATTAATAGGAAAACGTCATAAATTAAGTATTGGAGACGTATCTTAAGTATATTTTGCTAGTTACTGATAGAATACTCTACACGAAAACTTATTTTATCTACGGTAACAAGAGATAAAAACATAGATCAAAAAATTACTTACCGAGCGCGAAAACACGTCTATGCCTGTAACTTCACTCTCATCGGTGCGAATTTCACGAAACTTCGTTGATGTATAGTTGGTACCTCGACTCATGCACACATACAAAAAGCAAGACTGTACTTTATTTCGTTCAAGTTTTATTTTGACTGTATGAATGTGCCCCGCGTACGAAGGGTAACGATCTTCCCCTATATTAAAGGTTGTAGTAAAGAAGTCTATTTTTCTGAATATATTTTATTTTCAGTTCCAATGCCCTGCAGGTACAGTTTTCGATACATATAGAGGAATTTGCAACTACCCGCAATTAAGCGTCGAGCATTCTGGGTGTAAAATTCCAAGTGAAGAACAGCACTATGATAATAAAATTAAGGATACTGACAATGAATTGCCTAAGCCAATAGTTAACAGAAATGGTATAAGTTATTACAATCCGCTGCCTAATTATAACGAACTATCAGATGATTACGAGAAAGTACCATATCAACATGCATATCCAGTTACGCCTTCCACTGTGGCATACAGCACAGAAACATATACTCAAAGGCCATCGTTTTTGGTTGAAAATGAACATGACGACAATCGCTGTATAACAGATGGATTTATGGGTGATTCGAAGAATTGTAAGAAATTCTATAGATGTGTGAGCAATTTAAGAGGAGGGTTTATTAGATATGAGTTCATGTGTAATGATGCCACGATATGGGATGATAACACGCAAGGCTGTAATCATGCATGGATAGCCCGAAATTCAAAGTGTATAAAGGACGACACCTACAATGATATAAATGACATTAATTTGGGCTTTGGAAATAAAAATAATTATGATAAAAACTTGGATCAAAAAAAAGATAACGATGATTTTCCAAATAATTACAATCAGCCACACAATGAACCTATTCAGACAACCACCGAGAAATATATAAAAATAGATTCAACTACTCGTACGGAAAAACCATACAATAAACCTACATTAAGTTCAGTTCAAATCCACAAATTTGGTGACAAAATATTAGGATATGGTGATTCCGCAGCGAATTCGCTTACCACAGATAGTTTAAAAGAGCCATATTCTGATAAATATAAAAGTGAAATGTGTTCTCGAAATGGTTTCTTTGGTTACCCCGGGGACTGTAAGAAGTTTTATAGATGTATTGAGAGTTCAAATGGAAAATATGTACGATACGACTTTTCGTGTAGTGATGGAACTGTGTGGGATGATCATTTAAAAACATGTAATTTTGCTTGGGCGGTGAAAGAATGTGGTTCCTTTGTTCCCCTCAGAGATGAAACGAAAGACGTTACAACAACAAATGTAAATGTACTATCGTCAACAGTACACACAAGCAGTTCTAGGCCTCCCAAAGATGAATTATTCGGACAAACTACACCAAACAACCAAGAAATTTTTACAAAACCTTCAACCTTAAGTGATATTGGAGCTTCCGTGACATACGATTCGTACCAAGAGGAATGTAACTCTAATGGCTTCTATGGTGATAAAAATAATTGCCAAAATTTTTATAGATGTATTGAAACTAGACGAGGTGTTTTTACAAAGTTAGCATATAAATGTGGAGAAGGTACGTTATGGGACTCTAGCATTGAAGCATGTAATCATGCATGGGCTGTTAAGAACTGCACTGTTTCCGTAGCAAATAGCCAAACGATAGCTGACACACCAGTTATAACTACTGTTTCTCTTATACAAACCACCACACAAGCAAACGAAATATTGGAACATAAATTTGATTCCCTATACAACCAAGGACCCAATAAATTTACGAGTACCACACCAAAAGATATAAATAATTTTGAAAACAATGTTACACATAATAAATGTACTAGCTCTGGTTTTATAGGCGACGCTAATGACTGTCAAAAGTTTTACAGGTGTGTAGATAATGGCAGTGGGAAGTTCACTCAATATGAATTTACATGTGGTGAAAACACTGTCTGGGATTCTAGTATTGAGTCATGCAATCACGCATGGGCTGTTGAGAAATGTGGAGGAGTCGAAACTGTTCAGTCGCAACCGACTACACATGGCAACGATTTATTGTCAGAAGAAAACATTTCGGATTCTAAGGGAACAACTGCTCCCGACAGTTCATATAGTATATCCACAACGAGAACTTCTGAAGTTGATGAAGAAAATAAACCATACAAACCTACACCACAAACTGAAACAGGTCAACAACCACAACTAACAACGACTACTGCAACAACTAAAATACCACTAACAAGCGATCAAAATGAACAAGTTAGTACATCAAGTTCCAATAAATGCACGGAGGAAGGTTATTTCGGAAATGTAGAGGATTGTAAGAAATTCTATAGATGTGTTGATAATGGAAAGGTCGGCCTTCAAATGTACGAATATTCTTGTGGAGAAGGCACTATTTGGGACCAGGACCTTAAAGCATGTAATCATCCACAAGATGTTCAGCATTCGTCTTGTTCAACATCAAGTCAAACTCCAACAAACAATGATGCTTCAATTACTTCAGAATTACCCACCAGTAAAGTAAGTTCAACTTCAACTGTTTTACCTGCAACAACAATCGAAAATACATATAGTAATCATCCATCCATTGAGCCATCCACAACTGGTAAACCATATCAGCAAAGTACAAGTTCAAGTGACACTATAAATCTAGTTGATGAAAATAAATGTTCAAAAGAAGGATATTTTGGGAACACCGAAGATTGCGGAAAATTCTATAGATGCGTTGATAATGGCAGAAATAGTTTTACAAAATATGACTTTACTTGTGGAGAAGGAACTATTTGGGATCAAGATATAATAGCTTGTAATCATCCGCAAGACGTCGAACATCCTTCATGCTCATCAAATGTCTCATCAGCTGAGTCCACAACCACTGAGAAACAAACTGAAGTTCCCTCATCAACAACGGCAAAAATCTCAACAAGTAGTTCTACAATTTCAACCATACAAGCCACAACAACAACATCTTCACCGATCAGAACATCAACAACGCCAAAAACATCAACTTCGACAACGACGAGCGTAACTCCTTCAAGTGACACTATACATTCAGTTGATGAAAATACATGTTCAAAAGAAGGATATTTTGGGAACACCGAAGATTGCGGAAAATTCTATAGATGCGTTGATAATGGTAAAAATAGTTTTACAAAATATGATTTTACTTGTGGAGAAGGTACTATCTGGGATCAAGATATAATAGCTTGTAATCATCCGCAAGACGTTGAACGTCCTTCATGTTCATCAAATGTCTCATCAGCTGAGTCCACAACCACTGAGAAACAAACTGAAGTTCCCTCATCAACAACAGCAAAAATCTCAACAAGTAGTTCTACAATTTCAACCACACAAGCCACAACAACAACATTTTCACCGATCAGAACATCAACAACGCCAAAAACATCAACTTCGACAACGACGAGCGCAACTCCATCAAGTGACACAATAAATTCAGTTGATGAAAATACATGTTCAAAAGAAGGATATTTTGGGAACACCGAAGATTGCAGAAAATTCTATAGATGCGTTGATAATGGTAAAAATAGTTTTACAAAATATGACTTTACTTGTGGAGAAGGAACTATTTGGGACCAAGATATAATAGCTTGTAATCATCCGCAAGACGTCGAACATCCTTCATGTTCATCAAATGTCTCATCATCTGAGTCCACAACCACTGAGAAACAAACTGAAGTTCCCTCATCAACAACGGCAAAAATCTCAACAAGTAGTTCTACAATTTCAAACACGCAAACCACAACTACAACATCTTCACCGACCAGCATATCAACAACGCCAAAAACAACAACGACGAGCTCAACTCCTTCAAGCACATCTTCATCAAGCACCGCAACTACGGAAAGTTCTACAATGGCAAATAATGAAAACCAAACTTCTATGGAAGGACAAGAAAAGGGAAACTTTACATGTACCAAAGCTGGTTTTTACCCAAATCCGAATGACTGTAAAAAGTTTTACAGATGTGTGGATTGGTATAATAATGGTACAAGCTTCTCTATCTTTCATTTTGATTGTGGTGAGGGTACTATATGGGATCCGTCTTTAGATACATGTAACTATGAAGATTCTGTGTATCCCCCTCGAAATTGCAATGGTTCTTCCATTCAGACACAAAATAATACCGAAAGTACAACGTCTGGAAGTAGTTCTACAGATACAACTACTACGCCAGCAAGTACAGCAATGACGACGAGTGAACCATCAACCACAGAAGAAAGTAGCTCTACTTCAACTACAGAACAAAGTAGCTCTACTTCAACAACAGAACAAAGTAGCTCTACTTCAACTACAGAACAAAGTAGCTCTACTTCAACAACAGAACAAAGCACCTCTACTTCAACTACAGAACAAAGCAGCTCTACTTCAACTACAGAACAAAGCAGCACTTCGTCAACTACGGAACAAAGTAGTTCCACTCAAACATCGACTACAACAGAGCAACAAACTTCAACAACTGAAAAAAGCACAACGCAAACAGAGGCATCATCAACTGAACAATCAACGACAGCAACCTCAGATTCAACCACAACTGAACGTTCAACTACTCCTATGGATCAAACTGATAAAACAACTGCAGAATCATCTACTAGTGAAGGTACAACACAATCCTCGTCTACTGAACAACAATCTACATCAAACACAGATTCCTCATCAGAACCAACAGACAGTGATAAAACGACAACAGAGGCCACACAGCAAACAACTGAAAGTACCACCAGTTCCACTCCCAAAGACAAGTGTCCTGAAATGAATGATGATCAATACGCTTATGTTTGTCCAACATCATTTAGAAGACACCCCAAATATTGCAATCTATTTTATCAATGTACCGAAGATGATGATAGCCATGATTTGAAAATAGCCTTATTTCACTGCCCTAACAATACAATTTACGATGAATCAAAAACGCAGTGTGTAGATGAAAATAAAGCTTCAAAGAAATGCGATGGTACTTTAGCCCGAACTCACCGCATCAAACGATTCAGTAACGATTATATTGATCCGGTAATTAGTAACACTTTAATATAATTACTATATCCAAACTGAATATAATAATAAAAACTTGCCTTTTTCAGATCATCGTTGGCACCGATAGCTATGCATGTCCAAATGTGGGATACTTTCCCTTCGAGAGAAATCAAGAATGTTCACAAGCAATGTTAAAATGTCAACGTTCGAGAAACAATAATTTAACTGGATATGTGTTCCGATGTCCCGAAGGATATACTTTCTGGTCAAAGAGTAAACGATGTGAACGAAATTCACGGATTAAAGATTGTAAACGGTCGATCTACCCGTGGAACAAAAGACACGACATACCAAAAGAGGTTCATAATGTTGCATTGTATTAATATTAAGAATTAAAATGAGATGTGCAATAAGGACCCTAGTTTAAAACATTTATAAAAATATGGTAAATGAATTGGAATACCACATTGGTTAATATGGTTACTCATAAAACAATTCAATCTAGTCTTCAATTACAAATTAATGAGAATGTAATGTTTGCCATAATATAGTTAGTACACGACTTGTGATCAAGATATAGATATAACTAATACCATTATTTTGATCATGATTCACGCGGGACTCACAAAGTTAAACGGTATTTTTGTAAGATTTAAGAATATAATAAAACTTGAAGCTTTGATATTCTTTCATTTATAGCCATTACGGTGAGTCACTTTTATAAAAGTCGATCACTAAAGTAATGTAACAAGAAAAAATAAAAGAAATATTACAATAAATATATTTTTACTAAATAAATTCTACAATAAAATAACATCAACACCTTTACAATAAATCCAATTACCTTTACAAAATGTAGATAATTCCGAAATTATAAGATCGGTGACAGTTTCATCTTTAATGTGGTGTATTGCAGTATTAAAAACTGTGCCCAAAAAGGCATGACAAGAAGTTTTAGTTGCAACTATATTACCTTTTAAGTCTATATTTAAGTCATAATCAAAACCCAACGACTTCATTGGCATATTTGGAACTTTACTAAAAGTATTAGTATTCTTCTTATTGAACTTTTTTGTATGTTTAAAAGCGGTTTGCTGTCCATTAATTTCGTAAGAGTCACTTATTTCGTTTGTACTGTTGTCTTCTCTTTTATGTATAGTATTCGTTTTAGGTGAGAATAAAAATTTAAGGAACATAGGAAATAGTGTTTTACCATCATATTTACTATCTAGGATAAAATTATCTTTTGTATATTTATTTACTGGTTTGACATCCAACATATTATGTGGTATATGTTTCCTTAACATGTTGTTTACTGTATACTCTTTTTTATTTACACTAATGTTCTTTTGTATCCAATCAGAACTATTCCTATCTACTACTAAAAACTCTTTATTTTCTTCTGCAACGTTGACATCTTTCAATTGATCGTCCATTTCAAGGCTATCATTATCTAGGGCATCTATAATATCACGAATATTATTCACTCTCTTAGTTTTTGTCGTACTGCTTTTTTTACGGCCTCTCTTAGAACTATTTTCCTCGAATCTTCGAAATATATCTTGAACTTTCTCGATATAATGAGGGTGAGGCGATTCAGGTGTAAATAACTGTGGGTTTATTGATATCCCACCTTTATTCCATATTGAAATACATCGAATGAGAAATCCCAGAAACTGTTGTGGCAAATGTATCCAGTACTTTTTAATAGGCGACTCGTTCAAAAACTCTGATAATGATTTACGCTGCACATTAATTACAGTTTCCAGAGATGACGTGTTCCAGGATATTTCTTTGTCAACCCCTTTTTGTATATTATTTGAATATTCGGTATCATTTAAAAGTATCATAAAATTATATTTAAAAGCAGGATGCTCTTTAGATATAATTTCAATATATGGCATATATTTACTTAAGTCAACGCCTAGATTGTCTACTATTACATGCATATTTACTGTTTTGTATGCTTCATATTCAATAAAGTCGTTTGTCTTAATATTTGAAGGAACTTTGTTTATTTTCGGCGATGGAATCACTGCAATCGCTAACACGCTGTTATAAATAATAAGTACTGTAAAACCAATCATGGCTAGGCCCATCCACCAATAGGCTAAAAGTGAAGATACGTGATCTGTAAATAGAAATAACTATAAATTAGTCCTAAGAATTATACTTAGTTGCTTACATTGATCATTTAGAAAAAATACATTAATTAGGTAAAGATTTAATAAAAATACCCCGTAACGCTTAATTTGAATTCGAAGTAAACACATTTCTGTATATGTTTTATTGATCGTTTTTATTTATGGGCCAACGAAAAATATAGCATACTAAGAAACTTAATAGCAGTTTGAAAATTCAAACGCTTAGGATTTTTAAATTGTTAAATTATTAAAGTAGCATCTGAATATTGTATTTACCTGGCCACTGTTTGAGAATAGATGCAGCTCCCCTTATGCAGTACTTAGTTCTGGTTTTGTTCAAATCCCGCCATTGATATCTTGGGCTATCTGGGAGACATTCATCTTCAGAAAAGTCATCGCCAAGCAATGGATGTTGCTCTCGTTTCGGATCACTCATAATTAGCCATTTGGTTCACTAAAAAGAGGGAAATAAATTAATATATATTGTTTATTACTTTTTATAAGGTTAAGTAAAGTTTTCAACAAAATCAGTTTAGCAATTTCCCATTATTTCAGTATTACACACTCTTGTAATATGGTAATGATAATATTCAGACATTTATTTGGACTAAATTAAAGTACGAAGTAAGGGCTTTTTCTTTTACTACAATAAGAGGAATGTAACGATCGATTTAAATTACATTGAAATATAGGAAAATAATTTACCAAAGTTATATTAACGAAAAATATTAATTGATTATTGTCACTATAGATTTGTCATTTTTGTCATTGCGTCATAAACAAATTTTATGTCATTTTTCAAAAAATAAACTGAAACAATTTGTTTCTACGCATTTTTGCATTTACCCTTCACGCTATATAATTGTCCTCTCCAACAATAGCCTGTTAACGTTACCAACTAGAAGGAGAAATATTTTTCGTTAAACATATTTAAATCAAGTAAGTTATACATATACATATATTTTTATTATTGAAACAGTAGACAGGGTGTGAGAACTTCCGGGTATCAAAGGTACCTACAAAGTTCAGTAATCGACTAAACTAAAGAGTTTTAAAAAGAAGTAGCAATAAAAAAAGGTTTAAATTATGGTGAATGCTAACTAGTTTCAGCGCGTCCAACAAATAAATAAAACATAAATACATACCTAATTAATCTTCTTGAACCGTTTCCGTAAAGATAAGTCTAAAATTACACAACACTATTTAATAACATTATAACACACTGCAGTCTTCAACGATCGTGGGACATTAATTTCTTTTAGATAATGTATTTTTAATATGGCACGTTTTTAAACTTTACGGTATAATTTTGTTGATTCAACTATGCATTCGCCTCACGTTTTAACATGTTTTTGAAAAGTATGAGTAATCTTTTCATAATAAAGAAACACAAGACGTATTGTGCTAATATGTACCAACTCACAAAATACTGAAGAAACTTTTACTGAGACGAATATATGAAAACCCTTTCAGTATTCCGATATGAAAATGAACAGCTGACTTCTTGGAACTAAGTTTCATACCAATAGATTGAAATTCTTAATAAAATCTTTATAACTAAAATATATAATTATTATGATGCCGAATATTGCAAACGTATTGAGATTGAGATTGGGGACCCCACATAATCACGCGCAGACACATTTGTTGACTTGTTACAGTAATGATTTTCTTTTTAAGCATGAAAGTCAATCTTGTGTGTCCAATATTTTGCCAAAAGTTAGTCTATTTCAAAGGTTTGAAAAAAATGTATCAACCATAGCCACGGAGGCGTTGGCATGAGTGGTAAAATAGATGAACAAAAAGGATTTATTTAAAAAAAATCAATTTGACACCCGTTTGTTTAAAATCGGAAACAAAATTTCATGTCACTAAGAACTTCGTACAAATTTTGTAAATTTACAATAATAAAGTGTGGAATACAAGTTTCCCTTGAAACACGACGAAAGATCTGGGTAAGATAATGTGTTCAAAATAATATTTGGTAACAAAAACGTCGTCATCTGTAACACTGTAAAAACAGTTCATTTGGACATAGGTATCTAACCGTGTTTCTTATAGTTATTATTTAATAAAAAACGTTAGTAAATTAAGCGCTTCAACCACTAATATTCATTTACTATGCATGACTTCGCATGACACTATACTGAGATCGATTCCTGAATACAACAATTGTTTCGAGTGAGAGACAACTTTAATAACCGCAGATGCCTGCCCTATTCCCAGGAGGTTATGGCACACACATTTTTTTAGTTACACAGAGAAAGCGAACTTTGGGATGGAGCACGACCCGAGGGTCAATCGCGATGAACAGTATCCCTTGCTAAAAGTGGAAGCAGCAGATGGTGGTGGAGACACAAAACTTCAACAGCCTCCAAGTGTTGTGACTACTGGCTGGACTGCAAGTCGCACTCCGAAGCCATCGTGGCTTAACCGTTGGCCAGGTATAATTTTTTTATGTATTTTAAGCATATTCATAATAATAAATAAATAAAAAATTAATCAGTGGGCCTACAATCTCTTTAGGTCTGGGCCTCAGATTTCTGAATCTGTTTCATGATCATTTTTCAATCTGATAGGCAAGTAGGTGATCAGCCTCCAGTGCCTGACACACGCCGTCGACTTTTTGGGTCTTAGACATGTCGATTTCCTCACGATGTTTTCCTTCACCGTTCGAGCGAATGTTAAATGCGCATATAGAATCTAATCTAATTATCTAATATGAACTTCTCGTGTCACAATGTTCGTTCATACTCCTCCGAAACGGCTCGAACGATTCTTATGCAATTTTTTATGCATATTCAGTAAGTCTGAGAATCGGACAACATCTATTTTTCATCCTCCTAAATGTTAAGGGTGTTCCCACCCCTAAATTTTTATATTTATTTTTTAAACAAAACCTTTTGTTTTTATTTTTTTATGATACAGCATACAAAAATACATACAAGTTACAACCCTTAATTGTCACCCCTCTACGACCAACCCCTATTTTTTTATTATACTATTGATATATAGATATTATTTTTGAACTAAAAAAATGTTTCCTAGAAATACATGGCAAAACAACGTTTGCTGGGTCAGCTAGTAGATATGTATATATGAATTACTAGATAAATAAAACCGATGTATAGTTTGGCGCCCAATGTATTCTAATTCTTCCTATTCATTTGTTATTTCAGAGTGTATGTCTGCCTGTTGGATGACCATTATAGTGTTTGCAGTATCATTCCTCGTATTCTATAGTTTGGGAATATATGTGGCCTATAGACGTCAACCGGTCGTCGTCTTCAAGTGCAACAACTCGAAACCAGCGAGCGATGTTTATTACCACCACGTAGTACAAAAGGGATCCTACATTCCTCTTACAATATATTCTGAATACCTCTCAGCGATGGCCGTACAGTACCCATCGCTACGATTCAATGTTTATTTTCTTGTTGATGACTTTGCGCAAAATGGAAAGAGACCTAGGCTATTCAAGCGACTCCCTGCAATACCTGGAACGCTTAACGTAATTGTGGAACAAAGTAACAGAAGAGAGATTAGGGACTTCCAAAGAAGGTATCAAAACGTTAATATAACTATAATGACTCTCGGTAAATTTATGGCAAAGGCACCGTTAAGATACAAGTGGAAGAGCATTCCGTCGATGTATCTGCCGTTTTATGCAAGGATTCTCTCGGTCTGGCAAACTGGGGGTATTGGAATAGATCTTGACACATTTAATAACCTTTATAACAATCGACAAGATGTCAGTAATAAAATTGAAGCAATATTGAAACAGCATAACGAAGGTATAGACACGGACAAATACATGGATATATTTAACTCCATGAAACGCGATGACGATAACGAAATATTTTCCTTGTTTTTCAATGTAATACACAACTTAATGAACCAAACAAGCTCTTTTTTCAATCTGGATGTTTCCCCGGATATAAAACTTCTTGATAGGATGCCGCTCGTTAGAACACATAGAAATAAACGGGAAATTATGGAAGAACTACCACTTAATAATGCGTCTGATGCAAGTAATATTACCGATAAAAACACTTCAGTCACCGAGGCAACGCCAATTATCTCTACAGAAATAATTCAAGTATCAACTTTAAACCTGACTGAGGACAAAGCTAATAAAAGTCATGCAAGTTTTGTTGGGCCAGCTGACATGAAAATAAAAAGTCCAGGTCGACTAATACCGATGCCTCTTGATTTTCCTCAAGTGATGATATTTTACGACTTCCTAGTATCAGACGATGTTGGCCCATCTTATCCAGCCTTGGCTCCTATCAATCCAGCTACGCCTATGAAAATAACTGAGTTTAAAAAACTGGCTAAGCACGGGACAATGTCTAATCATCTATCTGTAAGCTTCGACGGAGCTTTCGTTGCAGCTCCGATGTGCTATCACCCATTTTTGACTCAACTTTTGTCGACAGGATGCAAAAGAGAAAACCCGAGTATTGCCATCAAAGATACTTTTATGAGCCAATGTTCGACTTTCTTGAGAGATGACGTGTATTGTGACAATATCTACATTATCGATAGCATTTATAATTAGTTACTTTTTATTTTACTTAAGGTTTCATGTTTCCAAATTGGCTTATAATATATTGTGTTAGTATTAAACGTATAAAGTACACCCTTTGCGTTATAATTTCAAATCGACAGTTTCATATCTCTGCCAATATGCTGGGCTTTAATATAGTGTTAAAGAACATACTATTTATATCTAACTAGAAAGAGTTTATTATCTGCTTCCTTTATAGTTTTATTTTCAATAAATATTACGTAGTAATGAAGTAAATACTTCAGATTTTAACCGTTATACTAAAAACTGGGCTTTATAAGTCTTTCAAAATTGTTTTAGATAAAAACAGCAGTCTCCGTTTTCGTTGGTATAAAATAAAACATGTAGAAAACTTAACCTAATAAGGGAATCTCTGTTCAAGGATTGATTCACAATGATTTAAAAAAAACCTGGATTTAGTTTATTGAGACCGTAAATGATTCATTTAAACACCACTTATAGCCCATTATAGGCTATAAAGTAGGTATAGAGTAGAGTAGTAGAAATAGCTTAGGTTATACGAGTATATAGCCACAGACTGACACATATTAACAATATAACGTGCCAACATTTCTTTGACATGTCTACATTATTATGAAGTTACCTTTTCATAAAATTTTATCACCTTTTCTAAAACCATATTTCAGACACACCAGGTTGTTTTGTCAGCACCCGACGTTCTCAGCTAGTATTTTGTATACATATTTCTATGGTGTTCTTGGTTTGGTAAGACAATAATGACTCTCATTACCGCTCGCATTAACATCTGTATTTTCATACAACTATTGGCGATGTATGAAGAAAAGTTGCACGTAACTTACCCAAAACTCAAAAGCTTAGAGACTTTTCTAGTATGGTGTTCGCTTAATAAGTCGGCAATTGTAAGAGTAGATGATTTGTAGGACTGTGCTCTTAAAACTATAAGCACCAAGGTCTTTTTACTTTTTTCATCACAATTCTGCTAACGCATGTATTACTAGTTATATCAATAGGATGCTATACAAGGTACCAGTCGTTTATTCTACGACTCGTCGATTTTCCTACATAGAGCGCTTGACAGCCGTTTTTTGTAGAGATCTTCGTTGCAACTGCCACTAGCATTGTAATATAAAATACAGACATATTACAAATAAACACAAGTCGGTAGAATTTGCATGATCCCTAGCTTTAGCATATCAAAGAATTTTAATAAAAGCATGTTTTAGATTATCAGCATCCATGATTTGAAGAAGCACTTTGGAGAGATACAAGTTGATGGAAAACTGAGTCTCAATTTTCGTGATGCGATGATCGTTCATGACATAAAAGTTATAGTTTCATCTATTGGATTGGTCCAGTACGTGTGCCTTTTAATGGGATGCTTTACCGTAAGTTATTTAAATTTATCATGGCCAACTGGAAAGACGTTAGACCAATCAATGATGACATGACATATTTTAATGTTTCAGATGGAAACTATTTCCGAAACACGATTTTATAATTTTGGTATTAGCATCGCCAAATAGTTCACTTCTGTATTATATTGGTACAATCAACAACATAATCCTTGTTTTAGGAAAACCCTGGACTACTTCTTCCTCACTTGGCTGGCCAACTCATAGCAGTGTCCCTTAAAATAGCCAATGTATTTTTATTTCTGAAACAAATGAAGTTGCGGTCGTTCGGTATTCTGGGTAATAAATTGACCGCTATCTTCGTTATGGCTTTTAACTGGCTTCAAGAGTTTTGTGTTTTCAGACAGTATTTATGTATCTGCGATCTTTGAAATTGTGTTGAACTAACCAGGAAAAATGCAAATATACAATTAATTAAATATTTTCCTGGGCCTTTTATTTAAAATAAAAGCAGTTAAGCAGGTAGGTGCTATATTTGTACTAAAAGTGAAAAATTTATATTTAATATCGTTGAAAGTAATAAAAAAAGTTTTTGGGTCCAACAGTGACGTGAAAGAGCAGTATCTTAGTATCTAAGTATAGTGGCTTAAGCCTAAAGCGACTGTCATCTACTCTAAAGTCGCACGTTCGAACCCCGGTAGTACCAACGTAGTTTTATTTTATATTTACGCAAAGAACACTTGCACTAAAGCGAAAAAATAACAAAAATTCAATATATGTTAGGCACAGAATTCTGATAAATTATCTAGTATCTTCTATAAAATAATGATCGAAGTATGAATAGTTAATCAAAGTTACGGACATAATTCAATAATTAAAATCCTACCGTAATTTATTGTTATTATGATTTAACGAAAATTTGCGAATGATGATATACGACCTCTTCATTTCATGAACCATGTCTGAAGTAGACAGCTGTCAAAAATGATATCTATTCACAACCGAAATGCTGTAAATTTTTTCACACACGTCTGCCTTTAAAAAAACCAATGTAGTGCATCACGTAAACCCTCTAAACAGTGCGTTGTACATCATGGAAACAGAAAGCAACGCCCTTATTGAACAACTACGAATGAAACACGAAAATCTGTCTAATGTAAGTAATGTCACCTTCAGCGCTTGCTTTTCACCTTTGATTTGATTAAAATATATTTACTATTTACAATACCAATACACGACTCTTAGTAACTTACGTTGAAAAAAATTAAACATAACTTAACCCTAACGTGTAGGATTTGATTCTGGGTATACAAATGTATAATATGTGTTAACGTAACTAGACCGTTCTTTGGAAAAAATCGGTAGGTTGAAACCTAACCCCTTAACACACTTTAATAAGAATTATCTATTATTTGTAATATTGGAGTGACGTGGATTATGTATTTTATTAGCAAAACGCAACCCGGGAGACTTCTCAGGGAGTCCGAGTGAGGCTAAGAGCGTTGCTTGTAGCGCTACTTGGAGTGTCAATGTCTGCTTGTGCCTTCGCCTCTCAACCTGTGGAATTAGAACTTGATGATGAAGATGTCGCCCAACGGTTGAATAACGTCAGCTTTGCTAGACGGTAGGTCACGAAATAATATTCTATGATTATATTCGTATATATACATATTTATGAAAGATAAATATACCGACCTCTATTGTTTATTAACTGAAAATCGCGAAATCTAAATGAGTTCTTTAGCAACGTTAGTTGATCTTTCAGGTTTATTACGCACTATTATTCTCTTTATTTATTAACTCTGTCTTTATTTTACTTTCTTAATAGTAGGAGTGTAAGTTTAAATTATACAATAAAACTTTGCTTTTCACTTACGTTAACGTAACGAGACGTTCCAAATTTTGCCAAGTATAAACTATATTTTGATTACAGAATAACAAAACCTACAATACGGCTATTGATGGGCTACGGAAAATTGAGTGCAGTTATAACCGCTTTTACATCTTTACTTTTGCTAGTTGCTGTTATGTCAAAGGTAAAATGTCACTAATTTTAGTACAAATTTACTACGTACATAAATAACACCCGGTGTAATTTTAGATAGAAGTGATATCCAACGTAGACCAGAAGGAACTTTTTTTAATGCGCCATGCCTTCAATGCATAGCGTATGTTTCAAATTATTCTTTTCGCATCGTTCAACCTCTGAATCATACGCTAACTCTTAATATTTCTTATAATTCTTCATATGACATAATGTTGTTTAAAAAAACCTATTTATTTAGCATAATTTTTGTACAAACCGGACCAATAAAGTCGGCGATTTTAAATTTTATCCAATTATTAACTTTATTTTTTTACGCCGTATGCGTTTACTTCTATGACATATATTTTAAGTACACCTCATTAAATATAAAAAATTACAGCAGTCTTGGCACCGACGCGGCGCGCGATGGTTGGCAGCGCCAGCGCTGCTGGTGACAGCATTGGAGATAGCGTCAGACGCGAGCGACGCCATTTTGGCAGCTCTACTCCGGGGGTCAACCGAGCCTTTCAGAGTGGCAGCGCAAACTATTGCTGCCGCGATCCTTATTACTATTGAGATATTAGTTTGGTATGAGTAATATTTATATTAATAACAGTAGCTTTTGTAGCGCAATGCAAGCGTGCTTTTACCCAGGTGTTTTAGTTCGTATTGTTTTTCCTTACTACCTTACTTATGTGTAGGTTAACACCTTAAGCGCCTAGTAGACTGGTCGCAATCAAAAATAATAGCCATAAGCAAGAATTACTTAGTAGTAGATTCTTTTACGAGCTTCTAAAAATACTGTTAAAATAGTTTCAAGGAATTTCCATTAATATAATTATCAATATGGCGCGCAATTTCTATAATCTATATATCTTCGCCATCGCAATTGAGATTAAATAAAGCAATGTATATGACGTCACCGTGAAATTGTAAACACCGTTAGATTGTAATCTATCTCGCGAGATTATGAACTATCGAAAGATTGTGAACTCAACGTACTGCTTACAATTTAACGTATTATTATTCGGTAGATTGTAATCTATCGAAGTGAAACCGACATATATATCGCTATAACCCAATATGGGTCTCAGATTGCATCAGTTCCTATAAACGTTTTTATTTTAAGGGCAAGGAGGTGATCAGCCTTCTCTCACACACATGTCATGGATTTTCGGATTTGAGACATGCCACTTTCCTCACGATGCTTTCCATCACCGTATGCACATAGAAAGTCCATTGGTGCACCGCCGGCCATCGAACCTGTACTGCTAACCTGTTTTAGACAAAGCAACGCACCAAACTGTTAATATGCTATTGTTTATTTCATTATTATTTTTTGCTACGTTTATGTTACAGGTTTTTCATAGCGAAATTTTTCGAATACAATCCACCGATGTCTCTCGAAGAAACTAAGAAGGATATAACAATTGAGCCTTATCTACAATGAAAAACAGATTTATTAATTAAATTTTTATTAAAATACTTTGGACAATAGACTTAAAAGCTTTGTAATAGTAAATTCCTACTTTCATAGTAAAATAGTGTATATATTTGTATATAAATTTGATATGCTTTGATGAATACACAGTGCTATAAAATTTCATTATCATTATTAATTTGATTTTTTACAACGAAAACTTGTGATTCGTTAAATCTCTCTAAATAGTGAATATATTAAATAAAATAGATAATAATATATAATGTTTATCACAATTCTGCACTTATTTAAGTCGAATTCTAAATCTTATCCTAATTTATTTTAGGTAAATATACAATTTGCTTTTTATTTTGTAAATACTATTTTCCCCTAATACCCTAATGTGATACTCAAAAAACTAAGGAAAATTTATTATGCGTTTTAAATTGATCCAATACAGCATAAAGAACAAAACTATGCATACCTTACCCCTTCACAGTCAGGACAAATGATTTGATTTTTATTCGGGAACCGGTTTCTTCTCTTTTCCAACTCCCCATCAATATACTCCATTAGCTTATCCTTCAAACGCATAATCGTTTCTTTCCTCAAAACACCGTTTTGAAAGAAGTCCTTTAGAATAATGACTATCCCGTTATCGTCTTCGCGGGATTCGCCCATCGGTCTTTGATGCTTCAAATAATTGAAGACAAAATTCACAATTTGTTGAATCAAGTCTTCGTCTGGACTTATCAATTTCAGCTTCGCGATTTCCGCCGGGACGAGATTCGACAAGACATTCAAAGCGGCCGTCATCAGCGCATCGTAGATATCTTTGCTTAAATTTTCTAGAAGAGACGCTATATTTTCTGCTCCGGACGCGCTGACACGAACTAAGTGGATCCCGATCCGTAGAACTTCTTCTGGGCGTATACCCACCGGTGTCGATGTCTCTTCTTCCTTGTTATCGAATATTTGAACCCCCGCTGACGATGGAACAACTTTAGTGGGAACGTTTGGCGTGTTGACCTTCGCTGGACCTAAAGTCGAGAAGAGCTGAGATCTCCCGTCCTTCCCCAGGCCGTACAATTGTGACGGCTCAAACGTGTGCGCAGCGTTCAAGTTGACCCGACCATCGGCAGTCATAGATATTCTCAATTTGTGCTGGTTTATGTCTTTGTTGATTCTCAAAACGTCGGCGAAATATTGATCTTTGTTAGCAATGTTTTTGATCCCGCAAATGACCTCAGTGTTGCCCTGAATGGCGCCCGATATACGGCGTGATTCCGCGCTTAATTTGTCGAATGCTTTTCTGAAATGTCAATGTAGGTGTTAAGTGTTTAAGGTTTTTTGGTTTCCTAGTATTAAACGCTACGAGCTAACGTGATACTACGGATTGTAGTCAAAGCTGCATTTATTAAGTAATAAATTTGTACACAGAAGAGAAAGCGCAAACAAAATTATAAAAAAATATTTAAAGATAATATGTAATAACTTATTTGTATAGATAAGATTTTTAATTAAAAATTTTTGTGGTTGGAAATAACAGCTCAGAAATATTTAAGAATATCTATGAATAGACAAAAAATATTGTCACCTGTGTCTGTTACTTCTGAGTGTCGCCCGATATTCGTTGATAGTATTGGCTTGCGCATCTTCGATGATGTTTTGCGCTGTGCGGTTGGACATCGCGGCTTGGAAGAAGAACAACATGGAAGCTGAGAATTGGAACAACTCTAGTTTTGTCGCTTTCTCGCCATGCTTCTTGTACTGAAAAGATTTAGATTAAGTTATAAATTTATCAAAGTAAACTATTTTTAAATACAGCAGGTATTAAGTGTAATGCAGCGAATGATTAGTTCGATCGTTAATTTAATTTTAACTACATACACATATTTTTATTTTATTTTTTTATGCTCTCAAACATCACACGTTAAAAAGAGGACAAAAGTGTGAAAATGACATGAGATCTTAAAAACTATGCAAATTCCTCAAAATCGAGTAGCCCGCAATATGGGAGCACACAACTCCCAAAGGGATGAAAGGGACTTTTTTGAATTCAAGAAGTAGATACCATAGCGTACGCGAATATAATTTAAGAAGAAGAAAGAAAATAACAAAGCAAAATAGAGGATGGAGTTGCTGAGGCCATATATGTGCAACTTTCCATGGCTCGGATATTTTTTTAAAAAGTATTTTCCGCGCGCTAGGAATAAAATCATCAAACGCTAGTCACACTTTTCACGCAGCCATAGGCTAAATCAACGAATGAAAATAGCTTATAATAATACTAATAGTTCTTAATTAATATGACTCTTTTTAATAATATCTATGTTTGTTTCCAGCATAAATTACAATTATAATAATTTATACTTAGTGTTCAGACTTCCTACCTTAATTATCAAATGTACGAGACTGTTGAGAACTCCTGCACCGCCAGATATCAAATTGGCGCGTCGCAACACCTCCACAGATGCAGCTAACACTTCACCAGTCTGGAATATATTTTTAAAATGTTTGACAGTTCCTAGGCAATAAACACTGAAGGTTTATAAGCGTAGACGGACTATGGTATAGACCAGGCATCAGCGTACAGCGTGTGAGATAGCGAATGATCGACATATGTCGTATTTACAGTTTTAATTCATTGAAGATTGCTTATTATTAAAATTAATACACATTCGAATGAATAATTCTTGAACAAAGTTACTGAGTCGTGACAAAATAAGCTACTTACCGATGAAAGGTTATGTTTGGTTCTTTACGTTCAATATAGCTTTTACAGCCAATTATGCAACAATTTACCATGAATGACACTTTAAATACATCTCTTATAAGGATAAAGTCTTAAAATATGGGTTTGACTTGGGTTTCACAGATTTATCAGTAAGCGGTGAAAACTTGTTTACCACCAAGGACTCGGTGGTAAACAATAAAACCCGATACACAAATAGAGACAGAAAAACTGATACTTTGTTTCGCTTGCACTTAAGTATTTCACGTTAATGCCTTCTCTCTTTAGTTATTATTGTTATTTTAGAAGCTCATCTAGTTCTATACTCTATCTACGTTTATAAGGTATATTATGTTTTGTTGTTTTACCTCAGTTCAATGAAGTTTAATTCAAAAAAAAACATTTTTATATTGTTTTAGTAAACGTGAATGTATTGATGAGATGAGTACCTATAATAACGCCATCAATTGTTGGATAATGTGCGGAAAGAGATCCATCGATTTGAGTTAACGAGACCTTTTTATGATGACGACTGTTACGTCATTATAGTACGACAGTTTATCTTGATATTTTAAAAAAAATGTGTTTAAATGAAATCACGCGTAGCAAAGTAGAATTAACTACATCCGCACATACTCCAAAGCGGAAAATTGCAAACAGTAACTGTTTTGATCTGTCAACCTGATTATATATGTTTAATATAAATTACTTTGGTAAGATTAGTTCCGGCAGCGGCAGAGCGAGATAGGAGAGTACTAGCCAACCCACTCCCAAGTCCCACACCACTTGCCGCTATGTTCAGCCAGCTGCCACGCGCCTCCGAGTTTGTTACACCTATGCTCTGTATAAGGATTTAAATATCAAGGAATATAATATACCATATTTATTACACATTTAAAACAAAAATTTCAAATCGAAAAAGGGAGCGTTCAAGTATTACGTCATGCAATTTTTGGAGATTCTTGACAAAATGTAACGCGCCGTAACGTTTTTATGTACCAAAAAGTAAAATGTTTCGTGACCACCGAGTTACTTTTTATATCTAAAAGATACAATTGTATGGTGTAAAGTACCTAATATTAACAATAACGCGTAATTCAATCCCTCGCCCCGCATCGTAACGTTTTACAAAAGGAACAAAAACTTACTGAACGCTCTCAAACTTAGATAACCTATTGGTATATAATATATAATATATAAGAGCCAGACTATGATGAAAATAGTGGCCTACAATAAAAAAAGATAATTTGTTCGCCTAACACTTACGAACAAAGTTGCATACCTGCTCATGCACTCTCCGGTCACGAAGATGGAACGAGGAGCGCACTATACCATACAACCCAGTTGCAACTGTGGCCACAGCAGCTCCTGCCAGCACTGCTGGCCCCACTGGAGTAAAGGCTGCCACTCCCAAAACACCAACTGCTCCCAACGAGGCCACAGTATTAACTGTATCAACGGAGCTTAGCACTCGAGACTTGAGGCCTAATGCCGGTGAAGGCGTTACTGTTAATTTAACAGCAACGATTCTTTCTTCCTGTAAGTTATCATAATTATCTAACCTATAATTCGATAAATACACGAATTTTAAATCTTAAGCGAATATAACATTAAAATTAGATGCGGATGACATGTATAGAATGATACATCTAATTTTTAGATGGCTAATGAAAGAAGATATTTGAATTATTTGAAAACTTTCGGATGGCAACACAGAATTTCATTGAATTTCTTAAGTTAGTATGAATTATTGTCTTGATACTTCATGCAATTACTCATTTTTATTTCTATTATATATTTTTTCCGAATAGTTAACAGGTATAATAATCAGTCTAAACTTTGTTTTATTTGATAGAATATTTCGTTTCTTTCGCAGGATTTGATTATTCCGAATAAAGTTGTGTGTTATAATAAATATAGTTTTAGTTTTCCATGCAATGCTAATCATTTGAAGTATCAATAGTAAAATACTAAATGCGTAAATGTTAAATTTTATAGAAATACAGTTACTATCAATGTAAAAAATAATAAAATAAAATCAAGTAAGTTTAATCCAGAAAATATACTAATTTTTTTTGAATTTGCCGCGCTTTTTTCTTATCTTCTTTCATTAGCCAGACTCTAACCTATATGTCATCAGTTTATGATACGTACGTGATCTGTACCGCGTCTAAACAACTAAGTTTAACCAGCGCCCCTAACGGGCAATAATGTAACTATTTTAGCCATTTCACGAGATGATTAATTCTATGATCATTCATTATATATAAAAGAAAGTCGTGTTTGTTACAACACTATGACTCAAACGGCTTTTATGGTTTTTGATTTGTTGGATTTGTTTCCGTCCCGAATAGCAGAATAAGCAATAAAATATCGGATAAGTTATCGAATAACAATAAATAAATAAAAACTACGCATCATTTTACATCGAGTTCGTGTCAGTTCAAGAAATTCCGATCTTGAGGTGAATGAGGAGATGCATAACCATGCTTTGATCCTGATCAAAAGATGTTGGATATCAGAAAGTGCTTAACATGCAGTATCGCCATATTGACGCTAGAGAGAAGATGCCTAGTGGGTAAAACTACCATTCTTCTTTGCAATGCAATAAAACATTTCTGTATTTGCAAAAAAGTTGTATTAATACTTAACATTACCTAAATAAGTTAATTAAGTAAACGATATTATAAGGTGTAGGGGGGAGAGTAGCCAGGTCAGCTAGTTATACAATATTTTAAATAATGAATGACTATCTCTTTTTTATTTTTTTTTTGTTTTAAAATATTTTGTAGTAATGTACCTCAACAATAACTCCTCGATACTCCCCATTTTGCGGAGCAACTATCACACATTTCGGAAACATGTTATCCGTTAAAACTGATTGCCAATCTTGGTACACCCTCGTATTTTCATCTATGTAAATTCTGCATGGTTTTGCTGAAATTTTTTTTAATACATAGTCGCCTATTATCTTTAATGGAGATTTACTAAATGGTCAACTCCAAAGAAATTCATATTTCCATAGGAACCAAAGACAATTAAGATACTTTTTTGACAAACGGTAATATACCTACTGCTTAGTAGTGACTGAATTTTATCCCAACATTAACTTGATGTATGGAAAAAGTTATGAATACTGGTTGTTTTGCTATATTGAATTTTGTCCTAGGCATTTGGCAGGGGTCCTTCCATTCTTAGAAATATTTTTTACAGATTATAAACTTACAATCAACTGTAGTTGGGATGCATTTTCTCACTTTAAAAACAGCTGTACACCACATATCCACATCAGTCCGGTTATGTAAGTCAACCCAATAGTCTGATGGTGTAAATTGTAATAGCTTTAGTGGTTTTGGTTTAACACACACAATAAGCAGTATAGACACCATAAGATCATCATTATTAAAACTGTATTTGGCTGTAAATGAAAATTATTATTAATAAGCATGGTTGTTTCATTTTAAAACCCAGCAAGGGACAATTTTACAATAGTCAACATCAAAACTTTAAGTTCAATTATTATTTTTGACACTAAATTTTATAGGTAATAATATTATTTTTATGGAAATTATCTGAACCATGTCTATATTATTTTATAGTTTTATGCCATTTCATCATGACTGTAATTGTTAAACTTTTTTAAATAATAATAAATTATGGACCTTTTTTAAAATCTTGATTATTTTTTTACTTACTTTGATTACAAATTTTTTTATACACATTAAGAACCTGCTCTTTTTGTCTTGATGTATACCCTTCTAAAGTTTCAGAAGAATTTTCTAATAAATTCCCTTCTTTAGTTGGGGTGCCAAAAAGTGCAAATGCAATGTTTTGCATAAGATGTTTTCTATTTCCTCGATCATATCTGAAAATATATGGTTTAAACAACTTAACAATTTATGGATGTATTACAAAAACCTTGAAAAAATTTTATGGTAGTGTTATGGTATTATTTAGATATTAATATTATAATGGTTTATAATAATTAAACAAAAGTTTAAAAGTTATATTGTTTAAAGATTCATAAATTTAAAACATATTTTTCTAATCTTTTTATATAAAATTGGTTTAATGTTGTTTTTTATTTAAACATAGTGATTCAAGGAATTTCAGCCACAATAAGAGTAAGTTACAACTGAAAATTAATTATTTTGAGTATGTAGAAGAACATAAATGTTGCATTTAAATTTCATCATTTAATTAATTTAAACTTGTTTCTATTATAAGCATATATTAAAATATAAAATATTACATTTCTATTTTACTCTTCTTAGTTTTTACTTTATTCTATAAAGTTATTAATATAATATACTTTATTTAAAGTGGTCATGTTTTTTTTTAAATAGAATAGTACATCTTACTTTATCCAATCACAATCTGGAAGATTCTCAAAATATTGCTGTTGTATTTGTACTGGTGACAGATTTATTTCAGGGAACGTATCATTTTCCGTATTTTCAGACTGCGGTGTTTGAGCCATATTTTCGGTATTTTTTCTGCTTCAATTACGTTTACCTATGAAAGAGAACAGAAGGTTATTTATTGCTACCCACCATATCTACAAATTAAACATTACTAATTTAGGCGACGAAACTCTTATTATATTATAAGCCTTGTTAGTTATATTATTACATGGAAAATAATATTACATGAGCTTTATACTTTACACAACCAAGTAACAAACTAATTACCTAAAACACAACATTTAAATTTTCACTATTTAATTACGAAATTATCTAGCTCAATCACATTATGATTATTCACAATTACTAACTACAGAAGTCAGAAACTACAATGTTTTTATTTTGATTTTGCTAATTGTCAAAGGGAAAGACTTCACGGCTGTTTGCTATTGGGTGTTTGATGTATTCTGGAAAAAAATATGACGTACTGTACAGTGTACAGTGTACACGTAAATATCGAAATACAGACGGGAATGTTTCCCGTTACAGCCAAAAAGCAAACATTTGGCTTGGCAGCAGAACGCAAAGTGTTCACCAAAACTGTGGATATCTTCTGTATATGGCCATTATGGTCCTAGCTTATAATTAAAAAATCAAGTTACATATTCATAATCTTTCGAATGTCAATTTAAATGTTTCACCTTCAATATGGCTGCTATTAAGTATACGTTTTAATTGTGTATTTGTGTGTATTCATTTAAGAGTTAAAATATATAATTAAGTTATTAATAATGGAGTTTGAGACATTGTTGATTGTTCCGCAAGACTCCGTTGCTTTGGTTGAAAGAATTACCAGAGATGTTCAACTGATGAGTGATTCTTACATTCAGAGTCGAGACTAACGCAAACTAGGTATGACTTCCATATTGCAAATCCAATACTGAGAGTGCTAATTGCTAAAGTGCCCTGTAAACGATCAAATTGTTTATCAAATTATTTGATAGTGTACTGTTGTGTTTGAACTTTGAGGCCGTGAGGCGTTTGTCAAACAATCTACGTGTTTGTCGTATTTGATGAAAATCTGGATTGATGTCGACTGTCGAGTTTGACAAACAGGTTTGAACGTGAACGGCGCGGCGGCGGGCGGTGTTTGTCAAACAAGATCTCACTCGTTCAGTAGGGATGTGACATTTTGCACAAAAAATCGATTTTTTTATTAATCGATTTTTTCCTCATTTTTGAAATAAATAACTAAATATTTTTATCTATTGTTTATTTTAAATTTAGTTAATGAAAAATAAACAATAGAAATTAACACAAATTAACGTTTAAGAATAATCAAAATCGAAATTAACTTAATCTCGTTTTGATAGATTTTAGGTGAAATTTGATAAATGCTGAGTGTATGCCTTTTCAGTAGTATAATGCAGTATTTTTGTTGTCTTTTTAATTGTATGTAATCTTGTGCTGCTGAATAAATTTATTTTACTTTTAAATTATAGCGTTCCATTCAAACTTGAGTTTTTTATAAAATTAACTGGTTTTATCATCCTTTCGATCTTTTACAAAAAAACATCAATGCATCGAGTATATCAATACACCTCCAAAGAATCGGATTCAATGTATCTCATTGTAAACATCGATATATATAGAATATCCCTAACAGTTCAAGGTCCGGGTAGAAAAGACCAGACATAATGTCGGGAGGTGACCGATGAAAAATCGACTATGATTGATTTTCAATAAAAAAAATAATCGATTATTTTAAATATAAAAATGTGGACATGTACTAGGTGTACACACGTAAGAAGTGAAACTTCTTTATGACCTTATTTTCGAAAAATGATCTACTATATGCAACTTTACAGAAATTGGTTAAATAAAGTTAAATTAGATAAAGTTTAACAAAAGGCTTTTATAATCATAGACATGAATACAAATACAATTATTTCATTTTACCTTATTACTACTAAAATTATTACAGAATTTCATTAATTGTAATAGAATTATTACTATCATTGTTATCGTTATTATATATTTTTGTTACTAATGGCTTCGAATCTCTTCGGATCAACCGTGGTAGGGACAAGAAAAAGGTGGCGCGTAACCATTGATATACAAAAAACCCAAGATGCACAGTCTCGAATAAAAGTAACGCTCGAAAGTGTCCCGAAACACTCTTTCTATCCCTTTCTATAACAGTATATGTTACAAGCATATATTATTGCAAAATCAACCTTACGCGAATTGTTTAAAGTTGTTATTACAACACAGTGTACTTATTAAAGCAATAAAATTTTACGACCGACCGTGGTCGGTAGGACAAGGTATTGAGTGGAGTCAAACATGACTTTTTTATTTACAACTATTTAACATAATTTTAAATTTATCCGACTTTTCGCGTGCGTGGTCACGGTGACTGAAGACAAAAGGTGTTGGATGTATAACATAACTTTAATCCGGTTAAAAAGTGTTTTCTTTAAATTAAAAAAAAAATGTTAAATTGGCTACCTCCTGACCTACACTTTATATAGCGTAAATATATTTGTCAAAAACTACACACAAAAAAGTTCAAAAGTACATAAATTTATTTATAAAAAAAAAAACACAAATAAATAAACAAAATAACCTCCACTTATTAGAACAGGGTCATTCTTATAATGCGACTAAAATAAAAAGATGGCGCGTAACGGAAAAATGTGACGCGTAACGAAAAAATGTTACACTAAATTTTTTTCCAACCCCGATAAAGAAGTTTCACTTCAAAAATCGCGAAAAAAATCGATTATTAAAAAAATCGATAAAAAAAATTTCACATCCCTAACTCGTTGTATTGACATCATGGAGGACGCTACGCTCAGTGACGATATGAGTGGCAATATTACGAACAAATAATTTACGTTGCATTTCATAATATCTGTTACTCGTGATATGCCGATGTTATGGAAAATAAAATCAAAAGGTTATATGGACAAAAATGCGTCATCTGATTTCTGAATTACTCATTGTAAGCGCTCGGCACGGCGACGTCAAGTCACGAAAGGAGAAACCCGAATCTACTAAAAAGTTAACAAATTTGTTTGATATTTGGTTTGATCGTTTAAACTTTAAGCTATTGTTTGATGAAAACGTGAAGTTTGACAAACAAATTTGTCAAGTAAATTTAATCGTTTACAGGGCACTTTAGAGCATACTAAACGTATATAATGGCCGCCATAGACGTTCAAGTAATTTAATCAAACTGGCTGGATCAAACCGTAGGCTCTGTAGGTTTGAATAAGCACAGAGAAGTGAGAAGTAAGTTTGAAATTTGAACAGTGTGGAGTTAGTAGTAGTAAGAGAAGTTAATTTGATTTAAACAATAAATACCTTTTAGACTTCCGCTCGTCTCTTTTCAATGGTCTTGTAAACGTGGATAGAAATATTTACTTGCCAGAAGGTACATCGGTTACCATAGCTGGTAGAATTCGTATTTAGTAAGTCCCAGGTCAACGACAACGGTACAAATAATTTGTATCTGTATCTATATCTTATATCTGGGTAATATGTTCCAACTTCCAACCACATTTATGTTGTATACTTACAACGACGATATTTAAAAAAATACTTACCTCTAAAATTTAAAAAACTACTTACTTAAAAAAATAATTACTTTTTAGTAATTACTATTTAGGTATACAGTACACTGGTCGTTCTCATAGTAGTCACTAGTCAGTAGTCTGTGGACACATTTTATTTTAACTATTAAGTATTTTGTGTTGCATCGCATAACCTAAAAACAGTTACAGTAAAATTATTTATTACCGTCAAAATAATTATTGTCTGAAAAATACTAGCTTAAAATTGTAGTTAAAATGTAATAAATGTAAACAATAGGGGAATATAGATTTAGCCATAATATTTATAAATTTATGTTTTCAAATTTTAGAGACATGGATTCGACAAGTAAACCGTTTAATAAGAAAAGAAAACTAGATAGAATACATTCGAAAAATGGTAAAGTTAAGAAATTTAAATTAGAATTGGAGACTAAAAATACTGATGCTAATAATGACTGTAATCTGCCTAAAGATATTGAAAAAAATAAAGTCATGGTAAGAGTAAGAAGTATATTTTAAGTACTGGTGGTACATAATAAACACATTGATTATTTTGTTCACAAATATATTAATAGGAGTATCCCCTAACAAGTGACAATTATGTTACTTTGCTTACCTAAAATCGTCTTCTAAGTATGTATGTACTATAATTACAGATACCTACTCTCTTTGTTAAGATATAATACAGTGGTGAAGTTGTTTTTATCTATTATTATAACTAGCTTGCAGAAGGGATCCCACAATTGATACAGATACCTAGTTTAAACACTATTGCTGTACACCTGGCTATTGTGCAGTTATTATTTTCTTGGCTTCTTATATTTATTTTCTTCAGTAAAGTAAAATTAATACTTATCATTTTAATTTTGCAGGTGACCTTATCCCCTGAAGAAATTAACAAACAATATCCAATATTAAATAACAGTGAACTCGTGAAGAAATTCCTTGGTGTGCCAATGACTAACAATCAAAAGGGTATATATTTATATGTATTTAATTTAATTTGATACCTATATAATAAAATTAAATTAAGTTGGTAGGTACCAGATAAAGGAAGTAGGTATTAGAGATTTTGATGTGGTTAGATATAGCTTTTTGCTTGAAACTATATACAGATAATTGTATCACTTATCTCCTCAAACTAAAGAACATTTAAAGAAGTATCAGACTAGAAAAGACTAATAGTAATAGACTGTTTCTTAAGAAGAGTTTTTAGTTTTTGGCCATTCTGATTGGCCATAAAAGTAGGGGTGTTTATTTTTTTACATATAAGTCGGTTCGATTCCCAGGCGAGGCAAGTAATTTTTAGAAAATCTTTCAATGCAATACACTTTTAAAAATAACATAAAGTCTTCTTGTAAAAACCCTATCGACATAAGGTACTTTCCTTCATGTCCGAAACTGGGACGCCCTGAGGTAGGAGGTGGTATAATCTGCATTTACAGACCGGACCGAAAGGGCTTTTTGAAATGGTCAAAGTATTAATAACCTGTGTTATTGCCGTACAGATAAAAGTCACCGGAAAATGACTCTTTTCTGAGGAAGTAATTTACCCCATACACCTATTTTCCACAAAAATGTACGCTGCTGGAAAATGTTATCTATTTGTGAATATCCAATTTTAATTTTATGTTGTTCTATTCATCACCTATCTAATCAGACATATTTGCACCCTTGGCTTCGACGCTCCTCTGGAAATATGTACGGCGTTTACGGGTAAAGTATCTGTAATTGTCCAAAAGGATTACACAAATGCCTTACAGTAAAATACCTGCTTTACTTCGTCGAATTAAAAATTTTCACCAACTTCCGGCACCAACTTTAGTACGGCACTAGGTTTTCGACATTTATTTTTAATATCTCACTTTAATAAACCGTACTTAATAATTAGTCGAAGTTCCCCAATTGTACCTGAGAAAGTCCATTCACTCACTACTCACATGTACCGCCCAGAAATGAGCATGCTCAACTATTTTCAGTTAGTAACAGCCTTCTAAGCGTAATTCACGTTGGGTCATTTCACATTTTTGTTCATGGGCTTGTGGTCTAGAAGCACACTTTTATAAATGTGTGTTTGAACATGCTCAAACTGCATTTGTTCAAACAGGTCTCATTAATGAAAGACCGTATTTAAAATATGAAACAAGATTTTTCTACATCTGTTTCCCATCTTTAAGAATTTAATTGTATTGCTTATTTTAAGACATGTTTTTGGAGATATATATAAAATATTATATATATAATGTTTTGAGTATTATTTTATTTTAGGTAGGATTCGACAAATGATTCGAGACAGCTTAAAAGGTACAACAGAGAATCCACTCCCAGATGTTATTCACGGAAAAATGCAGTCTTTAATAAAGTCTTCCAAAGAGTTAACCGAACCAGAGTTACGAAAAATTCGCATTTTATTTAATATGCTTAAAACTTCTCTTCAACATGGTATTGAAGAAAAAAAAGTGAAAAAGCAAAAACCAAAGGATAAGACAGTACAACTGTCCAAAGAAAGGATACAAAACACAACCAGTGAAAAGGAACAATTAAATGAAAATGAAGATAAAAGCATGACAGCTAAAAAAGAACAAAAAGTTAAGGGGCCCAAGCGATATGTGGTTTTTGTGGGTAATTTACCTGTTGATATTGAAAAAGAAACTGTAAGTATTTTTGACACATGTATACTAATTTACATTATCTGGAACTTGCTAGTTCAGGAGAAGGGGCGAAAAATCCTTTCCTTTCCTTTATAATATTACAGTTGTACAAAAGTGTTCATTTTCCCAGTTGTTCCTATGATTAACAATAATGTTACGATATACAATAATGTTAAGAATAAATAATAAAAAGTTTGTGCTTTTTAAATCATCATTTATTTTTGTTTAAGACCAAGTCATGCGAGCTTAACAATGTTGACCATTGACCTTGGAATTTAATAACTGGTGGAAAATCTTACGTTAATAAACAAATTTCCAGGTCCTACAGCATTTTGCAGACTTGGCGGATAAAATAGTAGATGTAAGGTTGCCTAAACAAGAGGAGGGTAAAAAGAGTTCCATAGCATATGTCGAACTTAAAGATGACCATAGTTATGAGGTTATTCATTTTTTGGTTTATGCATTCCATAAAGTCAAAAGATTTTAATGTTTTTGATATGCCATTGAGATTTAATTGTATTTTATATGGAGGAGAATGCAGAAGGAAACTAATTGCACACCCATTAAGCAACATAGTGTGTTTTAAATGTTTAATCAATATTGCTATTTTCAGTATCGCCTACTCTTGCATGCTATCAACATGATTCAATTGAGAATTAATTTCTTAATTCTTTACATTTCAGTTAGCACTATCAAAGCATCACTCAATGTTGGATAACAAGAGAATCAATGTACTATATACTACTCAGAAGAATAGCAAAATAAGTAAAAGTGAGGCTAAGGTAAATTGTATAAATGTTGATTATGTACTAAATTATGTATTACAAATTTAGCAGTATTGGCAGATCCTTGTTTTGTAATTTAAAAAAATCATGATTAAAGAAATTTGATTTGATTTAATTTTCTTAATCTTTTTAGTTCTATCTTTCATAGTTTTCCTTATTAATATGAACTAAAACCTAAACCTCATTTATCAACATTTATCAAACATTTTAACATAAAATTATTGGTGCTGCTAGAAATATTGATACATAAAAAATTCGACTCAACCAATTCGACTTAGGGTCCTTCAAGAAAAGAGCGTAAGTCTTAAAAGGTCGGCAACGTACTTGCCACCAGCCTTCTGGAAATGTGAGTGTCCATGGGCGGCGGTATCACTGTACATCCGATGAGCCCGCCTCCTATTACATACAAAAATGTTGTGATTTTATATTATATCGTAATATTATATAAAGGCGCAACTAGCTTTTTGTAAATATAATTTCACTTAATTTAATCTAAGCGTCGAAATAAAGTATTGACTTATTTGAAATACAAAGACGAATTATCTTCTATTGTTAATTTTCTAATATGTTACAGAGTACATCGGCGAAATTAGTAGCCTTACAAAAGTCTGGTAAACTGATTGGCAGTGTCCCTCTCAATAAAAAAAGAAGTCATAGAAGAAATAAGGCTAAACGTGCACGTGCTAAAGAAGAAGCAGCAACAATCATAAAAACCTGATTTATTGGTTTGGTTATGAACTAATAAAAATATTTTTTTTACGTTAATTGTAGTTTTTTTTGTTACCATTGTATGCTTCTAACAATCTGCTTTATAATGCCTTATGACAAAAACTAATGGCGTCGGTAATCAATTAGTAAACTTGTAATTTTATATAGTACTAGTGGACCCCACAGACGTCCTGCATGATATTTAAAGCGATTAGGATATTAAGCAAAGTATGAAAGTACCGACTGCAGTGCCATCTGCCGGGCTGATTTGTGAATCTAAACCATTCCCAGATCCCCTTGAACACACACAAAAAATTTTATCAAAATTGGTCCAGTCGTTTAGGAGGAGTTCAGTCACATACACACGCACACAAGAAATATATAGATGTGTCCCATCATAAGTTCCTACTGTTCTATAGTTCAATTTATTTAATGAGCATGCGAATCCCAGGCGGTGCGGGCACCATACTAGTAAAATTGAACGTAAATCAAATAGGCAGAAAAAAAACAACAACAGAGTGCTTCAAAAATTATTTATTTTTATTGTATATATAATTTATATATCCATTTATAGTTAAAATCAACCGATTCACACAACATATAACTATATCCATCACGTACGCCCATTGGACGAATACACCAAAATATGTTTCGCATTTTACTGGCAGTATTAAAAACATATCTTGGCAGAGGCTACTAACTACAGATTATTAATATTTTTTTGTTTGTCCTTTTAACAGAGTATATTAAAAAGCTGCGTAAGTAGTAATACTTTGAAATACTATCAACACATTTGTGCTGAAGGAATGATGTTCAAATTAAAATGTATACAATTTCGCAACAAACAAAAAAGCCCTTCCGCTTCAAATAAGTACTAAATTTGGAATCATAAAAATAAATAAGACTTAAAGAATATGACTCGCGCCCTCATTAATATTATTATATTTATTTTGTCACAATATTTTATCAGTTAATTTTAAACGTGAATTATAAAGAAAACTTGAAAAATGAATTATTGCTCTGAAAATATATAGAAATATTTTTTGTAATGGAATATATAAAATTCCGTCTTACTACACATTGATAGAAATATAAGAAGTATCATATTGGAATCCTCAAATTTAGATTTTTTTGTCTTAAAATATAAAATACATTTCAATGTTTTCTTTGTAATATCTTGTTTAATAAGTCTAAGCCCATTCACTCTTAACTTATTTTCGAGATTTCCAGAGCAAGCAAGGACGAACTTTAAAACGCTTTTAACCAACTACCAAAATCCTTTATACGCTACAACCACATTTCCTGTACACCATAGTTAAAAACTTTAATTTAATAATGGAATACGCATTTCGTACATTGCACAGATTCGTATCTATACAAAAAGTATAACCGTAATGATGTTAGACATAAAAAATTTATGAATGACTTCTACGAAATACAATATTAAATAAAATGAGCATTCCATTAAAAATCGACATCGCGCCATTTATTAAACTTTAACATTAAATTTTTATATTTCGCGCTTAAAGTTTAGAAGTAACGCAAAACAATTTGCGTCGACATAGACCAAAATTCCAATTTCAAAAATGAAAAATATTTGGCGCATTTTTATAGTTGACATACACAACCTCATTCGACACTGCCCACCGAATTTAAATTTCGAATCATCTCGGATACAGTTTCGTTGCAAATTAACAAAATCGACAAGTGACATTGACATTTAATTAAAACATTATCTATGCTTAGAAATAATTCTCGCACTAATACTTTTTAAAATCTTACTTTACGCTATTTACACCAGCTACATTTAAATACAATTACACTCGTAGTGTGCGCCATTTTTACACAAAATTAACGTGTAATACAAATCGGTTAGTTACAGTATATTTAAAAATTTGTGTAACTTGCACAGACTCAGGTAAATATCAATGAGATTCCTGGATTTTGTCAGAAACATCGTTGGAATGTTATTTGTTCATAATTTGACACATGATAATTTTCATTTTTTAAGGATTTCTTAAATCAGATCTTCTGATGTAGTCAAAACATAGTTAATAACACAAAATCTTCTGTTCTTTGTTTGAAAGATCATCCAACCTTTTGACAGAAGTGTCAGAGCCATTATAGTACTTAAGAAATCCTTATAAACATCAGTCTAACAATGCAAACATTGCCTAATCGATTGTAAAATAATCGATAAACCAATCGACCGACTATGCATTTTCGACAGGATGGCAACAAACGCTAGACCGGTCGATCAACGCTTCAATCTAATCGTAAATAATTAATAGATCAGTTGACCAACTAGTTGCCCAATCAGATCTGCGCCCAGCGTGTCTCAAAGAATTGTCGCATGCTGTGTCCGGCTCGGCCACACGGACTGTCATCTTCGTTAAAAATCTCACAATTACTAAATATGAGGCGTACGTCCGATGCGAATTCTTCCTTGCATTTGTATCTGTAAAAAAATAATACATCTTATAATTGTAACGTCATTCATTTCTATGTTATGATTTGTAAATGATCCATTAGCATGGATGTCATAGTCCAACAAAGTCGAATATTAGGATAATAAAAATCGTATAAATTTCATGTAATTAGTAAAGTAAGTTTTTTAGGGATCGCTGAACAAGGAGTATATGATTTGAAAATATAGTGATTCATGTGCCCTTTTTTTTTTTAAGTATCCTTTTTTTATTATCCCTTTCACTGTTTACGTATGTTTTAATTGCTTTGCTTTGTTCCATTAGTTTGTTTTATATTAGTAACTATACGTAAATATGTATTATGTAGCTTTGCACTTCTTGCGCTCACCCTCATTTAATTTTATTTCCTTTCTCATAGTTGCCCTGGAAAGACGCTCAAAAGCGATAAGGCCAGCTGCCCCCCTTTACTCTAATTATTTTAATTGTACGTACATATTTCTGAATACAACAAACAAAATGTTAATTAATAATTACTAAATCCTCATCTCTTTAAAAATTATTATTGCTAGATGCAAAAAAGGGTCTGCCCCATCTAAGTACATTTATAGTTTTAAGACAAGGGACATTAAACAAAACTCTTACCCTTGCTCCTGAAGCTTCCTTCGGATAGTGGACAAGTCCATTGGACTCTTAATGACTTTCTTGTACTGCGGGAACTGTTTGGTGTTGACCGGAATCAGGAACGGCCAAGCGTGCTCGTGGCATTCCATTTCGCATAGAAGGTTTCTGAAAGGTTAACACTCAATATAAGACCAAATCTCCAAAAACAATTCTATGCTAGTTTATTATTGACTGTGGCTTGGTGTAGTACAGTGTTACTAAACTGTTTTACTATCCTTGACCCCCATGCTTACTGCCCTAATGTTTTTCAGTACCCAAGTAAATTAATTGTAAAACGTTTAGTGACCAGACTAGACCAGACCAGTATCTGACTAGAAACTCTTTAGTTACTATTAATGTAATTGATTGACTTTTTAGTCCGCCCTGCATCCTAAACGATTTTCAAAAGGACCCCCCACAATACGTTACGTAAAAAACAAGAACGCTCCCTAAGACCTTACCATAAATCCCCCAGTAGAATAATTTATATTGCATTTTCAATTGTATTTTTAATTGCCTACTAGTAATTTGTGTTCATGTGATTAAAGTTTCTCACTAGACTCAAAACCAAAACTTTAACAACAAGTTTCCATAAAAATGTTCACCGTTATACTAATAGAAAAACTTTGATAAATCAATCCATACAAAAGCTATTTTTGTAAAACTAAGTAGTAATCTATGAAGAATTACCCAATAAATTATGTGATTTTTGTATGTTTGAATTTGACTAAATGGTAATTAGCCTTGCATATAGTAAACTTATTCTGATATAACTCACTTGCAAAACTGTAACTCCTTATTCAGTTTTTTCGCTCTCACTCTTTTTTTCTTCGAACGAGACAAAAGGGGCGTTCACCAGTTTCGTAAAGATTTTCAGTGTTCTACAATGTAAAATAATATTTTTATTAAACAAAATTATCTTGTTAAAGTTTTACACAATCTGTGAATATAATATAATTCTTTTGTTTGTGTATGTCTGAACTTCTCTAAAAACGAGCTGGCATATAATAACCGTTTTTAATAAAATCTTTTGAGAACTGTAATTCCTTTAAGGGGACTCTGTGGACTGGTTTAGTTTCTACAAACGAGCCCGCAAGATGGCGCTGCAGTCGGTACTTGTCATTCTTTGCTTTACTAATCGCTTAAACAATATTTTGATGGACAAGTCTGTCGGAGTTCCACTACTTGTTATAAAACTAGCTGAGTTCTTTAACCAAATAAAAATTGAATTTAAACTAATTAAATAGTAAAAAAAATAGAATACAAAATTGATAAAAGATTTACTTTACAAAAAATAAATTACTCAAAATTTTTTACTAATCAAGGTTTATAGTACGAATATGCATACCGTAATTTTGTATTAAATAAATTGAATAATTAACTAACATGAATAAAGGAGGGAAAGAGAAAGTTTATAAAGCATTATAATTCAACTTACCATCAACATGTGGTTCTTCGTGAGGTATGGCGCCATTTCCGGCCACAAACTGAAGTGCGCGATGCTTTTCCGGTGTACCATCCTCAGGCATTGGTAATGGTAGCTCTGATACTGTATACAAATTTGTATAATAACATTAACAAAAAATAATAATATTTATTTATGTTTTTAAACTTCGTTACATTCTAATTATCATAAATTATTAAGGACCGGGAACGGGAGGCTTATCGCTAACAAGCGATCTCTTCCAGGCAACCCTAGTAAGGAAAAAAACTAAAAAAAAATTAGTAAGGGTAAAGTGCATTAATTACTAAATCAACAAAAATACAATTACAAGTAACACTGAAAAATTATACAATTAATATAAAGTCATTAAATTTGGTAATTGTATTATAATATATTATACTAGCAGACCGCGCCAAGCGTTGCTGTGGCTAAGGGTTTTGTTATATTACATAGTAGTAAACTATTCAAGGAAAACGGTAGGAGAACACCAGTCATGGGGACCACCATGTTTTATTGGTGGTTATGCCATTAAATTGTAGCTTATTGGAGCAACGTTGGTACTTTCAACACAGCGCCATCTGTTAGATTGTGGATTGTGACTATCAAATAATAAACAAATATTTTGCAATAAAATAATATTGCGAGTATAAATTGAGATATATGCTTCCTTCTTTTAAGTTGGATCAAACTGCACACGGTGTGCAAATTTTATTGAAATTGGTTCGGTAGTTTAGGAGTCCTTAGCGGACAAACAACTGACACGTAATATATTATTATATTTCATTAACATAAAATAATAAATTAAACTAATCAACTTAAACAGTGAAAACTAACCAATTGGTTCAACTCATAATGTTTAAATTACTGTTGTGAAATAAATCTATGTCAAGTATCAGAAAACATATTTATGTTACTAAACTAAATAGTTTTGAACGCCGCGTGCGTCAATCAAATATTCGTTTCAGGACATGGAGACAATCCATTCAAACAGATTTGAAATAAATTCAGCGAGAATCGAACCCAAAACCCCCAGACACATTTCAAGGTACTACAACTTACCATTATGTCCATTCTCGTGTTCAACACTTTCTTCCATTTTGTCGTGGTCCTTCTCAGGTGTACATAACACGTTAGGGGTACATTCTTCCGCAGTTGTCGATGTTGAGGCGTGAGATGGCGCTGGACTGGAATTAATAATAACACTTTATTTACATCACGATATCACAAAACAGGAAAAAAACGGATAAAGGATGAAAATGGGCGGTCTTACCGCTAAAAGCAGCTACTAATAATAATAAAATATTACTGTCGTATTTTACATAATAATTTTTAGTTGTGTTTTATGTTTGTATTGAAATGTGTAGGGGGGGGTTTGTCCCTTTTGTAAAACGTTACGATGCTGGGCGGGGATTGAATTATGCGTTATTGTTAATATTATTTTCGACTTTTAGGTATAAACAGTCACGATTTGCTCACGAAAGGTTTTACTATACGGTAGTTGAGCTTACAGAAAAATATAATCTCCAAAAATTGTGTTACGTAATACTTGAACTCTCCCTAATGTATATCACTTATATAAATATTTTTATTATAAGTGTAGCTGTGGGAATACTGGAAATCAAATAAATAAATAAAAATACATGCAAAAGGTAACAACAGGTATAAACAAAGATTTATGCAATGTAGTCAGTTGTTTCTTTTCTTTTGACGTGATAACGTCTTTAAAATCGTTTTAGTCGGGTGACATGTTCAGAAACTTGTGTCACACCAAAACCTCACGAGCGCGATCGCAGTTATAACGAGAGAGAGACGGACCATCTCCCGTTCTCTCACTCTAGCGGCATACAAACGAATGGAGATTTGTATGAATGTATGTATGAAGAAAAATGTATATCATAGTCGAATAAGTAAACTTGTCATTTTACACCCGAAATTTATCATCAAAAGTGTGAATAAAACGATAGATGTAATTTAAAATTTGAAAAAAATTGTTATCTTCTATTAATTCCTTACTTCCCAAAAACTTATATCACCAATAAGACGTTATCACGTAAACATCTCTGATCGTAAACCTACTTTACAAACAACCATTTTTTTTTATCATAAAGTCAAACTAAAGAAAAGCATTTGAAACTTCAGTTACGCAAATCATATACATATAGCCTGGTCATTACGCGTGGTGGGGCAGAGTTAGCTTAGTAGAAAAAAGCTAACAATCAATTGACCGTGACAAACCAAATTCAAGTTTATTTTTAATGTATCGTATTTGCTTAAACCAAAGACAATCTTCTGTCAATCTGGTGTGCTGGTAGCATTTTTTTTTTTAAATTGCATGGAATAAATTTGCGTTTTTGCTAACTTACCTAGGTACCATAGATGCGTCTAGATCGATATTAGACATGTCTTTATGTTTGGAGTCGCGTTTGTTTGATTTACGCGGTTTCTTGGGTGGAGCACGCGATATGCACTGAGCGCAATACCACTTGCCGCGAGGATTCTGTAATAAATAAATTAGATATTATTTGTGTATCTTATTAAATAATAACATATATTGTATACTCAAATAATGCGTATAATCTAAATAAATAATCACGTAACGGTAATCAGGCACTAAGGCTGATCTTCAGCATAGCTAAACAAAAAAAAAATCAATGAAACGGATGTTATACTTTTGTTCTTTTTTCCTGGTCTATGGTTAACTGGCTCTATGGCAAATGAGAATGTTGTTTAAAAGTTTTCCTAAATAACTGGGTAAACGCATTTTAATAATTTGTTTCTGGTAAGTATAACGAGCGTACCTTGAGCAATGGAGGGTAATGACAGTCTGCGTGGTATGCGCGTACGCACAAAGCGCAAGGCACGAGTCTACCCGCGCCCGTCCCCGCCCCGCACACGATGCACACACGCTCCCCACGCGCCTTGTTCACGCACTCCCAGCAGTACCTAAAAATATTATTTTCAGATATCTAAATGTCAAAAACCTAAGTAAAAGTTTACAATGTTAACACGAATACTATTCGCGTAAATGTAGAAATCTTGTTTAAAAAACTGTAATCGAGGACAGGAATATTTCTACATCTATCGCCTTGATATGTAGTCAATCTACGTATTAAGAAAAGCTTAGAATCGTTCATTATAACTAACGGCTACTTAGAGACCACTTAAGATGTACATACTATATTGTGTTGTTTTTTCTAAAATTTTTTGTGTAATTCCAAAAAAAAAAAGGTTTCCCCCCCCAAAAAACCCCCCCAAACCCCACAAAATTTTCCCCCAAAAAATCCCCCCCCCAAAAAAAAACCCCTTTTTTTTCCCCCAAAAATAAACAAAATTTTTTTAAAAAAAAAAAAAAACCCCACAAAAACACAAATATTTACCCGTACATCAAATCAGAAGCAAATGGCGACGTTTCGCTGGAATATATTTCGTAATCCATTCGTTAACTCGGGCATAGTGATATATTCTGGTTAATGTTTTAATTTATCCCATGTAAAATCCAGAAAACACCACAATTCTTTTGTAACTTACCAATCTCCTTCAGGTATTTTCTCCATCCTCGGTTTAAAGCAATATGTATGATAGCCTTTATCACAACCATCACATAGCAACAGCTGACCCTCATTGTCTCCACACAGACAGAACTGACAATTCTGTGAGAAATATATCAATTAGTACGCGACCAACAACATATTTCAATGTCAAACATTAAATATAACATATTTAGGATTTTTTGGAGAATTTAAAAACATATAAAAACTGAACATGTACAAAGCTGATGCAAAATGTTTAGTTATGAGAAACTTAATACATATGATATTAAATATTCCCAAATAAATTCTTTTACTATGAACAATATACTCCCCGAATAGAGTCTCCCTCATAAAACTGCAATTTATATTTTTGAAGTTATACTTCTTTAGGCGCGTTATGAAAAATTGATGAGAGTGAAATTTTACGATGCGCGCGCACCGTGACACAAAATTAACAGAATGAAGTTGCCCACGGAAGATGCTACGGCATTGGACATAATTTAAAACAACTTAGAAGGGGCCTCATAGCCTAGCGGTCTTATTAAGTGGCAGCTAGGTGAGGGGTACCAGGTTCGATTCCCGGTTCGAGGGCAAGTTTTAATTTAATTTAAATTTGTTCTCGGCCTTTAGGAGGTATTTGCGGTACCGGGCGAGTGCCTAAAACCGTACATAGCTATGATCGAATTTCTAACAGAAAGCACGAAGATAAAAATTCATACTTGAGCTGGCTAATGCACAAACCGTACAGAGCCATTAAAAAAAAAACAACTTAGAATTTATGTTACACTTAATGTAAGAGAATAATAATAAATATTTATTTATTTAATTTTTCAATTGTAAACTGAACTTTATTGACTATAATGACTCCTTTTCCAGTCTTTGATTATTTAATTGTAATTAATTATTTGCATGCAATCAAAAACTGTATTTAATAATGCCAAAGAAGTATAACTTCTTACGCGCGTACATAAGTACACGCACCCTTTTTTTTTGAGCATACATTTGTATATCCAAATTTATGTCTGTGAAAGTCTGAAAAGTTTTACCACAGAATATAAAGGCTACTAAATTATTGAATCACACCCGACAGACGTTGTCCAGTCTTAACTATGAATATTGATTTCAAGTTGGTACAGTTAATTAAAAAATATTTCAGAAACAAAGTGTTTATTATTCTAATGCTTTATGTTATACAACATTCTTTGTTTGTTTGTTTGCTCTCATTTTATTATATTATCAATATAATAACTCCGATCGAAGCATTTATTTTTAAACGATATTCTTTTTCTTACATCCTCTTTGACGATATTTGCACGCATTCTGTCAATGTTATGTCAAACGCCATAAGGTTACATCAAAACGTTCGAGATTGTATGGTGGTTAAGTATTTTTAAATTTTCTAATTCTTTCTAATTATAAGAACCTTCTCCCTGACAATTACAAACACAACAAAAAAATCAGACAAATCCGGTCAAGCCGTTTTCATGTTATGTCGTGACAACGGAAAACGGGTTTCATTTTATATACACCGCGGACCTGACAACTTTGTCCTGTATGATATTTCAAGTGATTAGTATATTAAACAAAGTATGAAAGTACCGACTGCAGCGCCACCTGCCAGTCTGATTTGTGAATCTAAACCATTCCCAGATCCCCTTGAACACACACAAAAAATTTCATCAAAATCGGCCAGTCGTTTGAGAGAAGTTCATGACATACACACCCACAGAAAATATATATATAAAATAGATACTGACCGCTTTCATAATACTCTTGTCCCAGGCAATATGCGACTCCAGCGCATGAAGCAACATTGCGAGTTGTGCGGCCGTATTGCACCGAGATACTGCATCACGCCATGTTGAGAGACCACGGGCAATGCCACGAGTTTCTGTAATGTATACATTTATTTATATATTTTGTCAAAACTTATTTGTTACTTTAGTTTACTGTCTTATTAATGTAATTGTTTCTTTCTGTTAAATCGTGTTTATGCTGTGAGCACTAAAGAGAGCTTTAAATTCTTGAATTTAAAAAAAATATTCAATAACAAAAAATAATAATTATATCAATCAGTAACCTAAAACAATTATATAATTAAATGTTGATTTAATAAACTAGTTCACTTGCAGTGGTTATTAAGAAATAAACGAAACCAAATATAAACTCCATCAAATTAAAATATAACCAATACCTATCAAATATCAAACATCTAATTCAATAAGCTATTTGATTTTATAATACTCAAGATCGAAATAACAGCTAAATGCGGTAGAAGATGCAGAGAGACCCCACATCTCTACGCAACCCCAAGGGATCAAGCCGCACGGGAAGTGACTGGTCGTCGTTGATTCGGATAACTCTTCGTTGAATTGAAGGAGCTGGTACTGGGTCCCGCCCAGAGGAGAAAATATGCATACCTTTTCCCTCATTGTTCTCTGAATTTTGCGGAGACGTAGCAGATGCATTACCGTGTTCACTTTGCAGCATCGCTCCGAGGTTAGCGTCGTTTGTACTGGAAAAAATATTACATTTTTAAATAAACAACAATTAGGCATTTAATAATTACAAAGAAGGACTCAAATAAATCCTGCCTATTGTTCCAATGTTACAATTAACATTGGTTTTCTATACTATATTTTTTATTGAATGCTATGTTGTATCAGAATTATTAATATTTTTGGTAATTTAATATCTCCTGACACAGGAGTAAGGGACCGAATGTCACAAAGCTCTGAACAAAAGTAAACTCATTAAAATTTAGTAAAGCTTTATTTTATATCAGTTTATTTCCACGAAAGCCGAGATTTACCAGTCTTGCACCCAAAAATCGAAGACATATGTTAGGTAAAGAAAGCTAATCACTTACTTGTTTTAAAATATCAAAGAAAAGGACTAAAATCGGCCAAAAGTGTATTAATTACATACTATAATATTATAACTAAAATCTATGAAAACCACCTCCGTGCAAATCTACCTTACGATGTCTTAACCTTTATACCGATGAACATAGTAAACTAAATTTATACAAACATGGAAGTGCAATAAAAAAAAACGTCGGGGTAAGTGCACTCCCGACAAATCTACTCCTAAACTAATAATTGTATGTACAATTTATATAAGGAACATCTCTTATGGGTAGGGAGTCCATTTATGACAAAACTCTATTATAAAGTCACTAATAGTGCACCTAGTGGTAGACCATAGCTCTGTATTATACAACCTAATATAACAATACCTATATAAAATAATCAGCGTGAATATGACAGTTTTGTATAATTTTAATAGATAGCTAAGTTTGGATGTGAGGCATGCAAAAAAAGTAACTTGTACACGTAGTACAACTTTGTTGTAAAATGAACCATCAAACGTTATCAACGTCGAATTTCAAATTTCGTAACAATATTTTAATTATTAATAAAACAAGGTAAATAACTCCGTTGTAAACTAATTAACCTTAGTAATAGTGCGAATATGTCAATTTTAATCACTGATAGCACCCATCACCATTAAATTCAAGCCGTTTCAAACAAATTTGATAAAAACCACTCCCATTGTAACAAAAAATTTAAATCGGTGCCAACTTAGGCGAGCATACAAACCACCAAGAAAACTGTGTACCCATCCACAAAGTGCCAACTCTACCACAAACTTACCTCACACAAAACGCAAGCTTACAATAAATGTATACATTACCTAGCGTACCTTTGTACCAGGGGCGGTTTCAAATATCGCCTCTCCACGTGAGCTTCGAGTTGGGCAAGTTGGTGACGCGCCCAGGCGACTATTTCTGCCCCGGAGGCGTCTGGGGCAAGGGGCAAACAGCTCGGACGCCAGCCCTTTACTTGCATAGAGCCAGCTACCACTCTTTCTTCTAGGGCTTCCACCTTAGAAGCGATTTGGAACATAAAGGTACGATTCCACCAGTGTGTGGCACAGTGTTGCACAGCTTACGGCACAAACGTTTGTTTTGGTCGGCTCACTCAAGCGAACAATAATAAATTATGCGTGAATATTTCAGCAAAGTTCGCGCACAACTGTGAACGGTACAAGTAGTGGACTCGTGTCGACGCGCACACACTAGTTGTTCGCGAACTGATTCTTGCTTCAGCTACCAAAGCGAATACATTTAATTGTGCGCGCACTACGCCAATTAATTTGTTGAATGATCAAGAATATATTACAAAGTACAACGTTTTCCTGTCCGTCCATTTTAGAGCTGTCGGCAATAAAATCTTCTCAGTGAACAAGTGTGCAACACTGTGCGCTCACAAAATTTACACACAGCATTGCCGTATCGAATGGTATCTTAAAATTAATAGGATATTTTCGTTAATCATCATAGAATAGTGGCAATCAATTTTTGTACTGAAATATTGAGCGCGCTCTAAACAATTGTACATGGTTTGATTTTAAATACTGAAGGTACAATATGATCACGTTGTGATTATAATTAATTAAATAAACCAATGAAACCTCATAATCATACTTAGTCTTGTCCGAGAATATTTGAGTCATAAAGAGAATACGTACCATAGATAATAAAGCCATATCGACCCTCCTTGCAGTATTGGCACAGAATGAGCCAGGTTCGTCAGGTGGTGTATAATCTGTGGTATCTAAAGGTGACACTGACAGTTGCGTTAGAGATGTGTCGCCCTTGTCAATGTATAGCTGAAAGCAAAATTTACCAATAAACATTATTTATGTTAATAAACTGATAATTTTTCCACCCATAATTCTAATGCAAACCATTTTTAATTAATTTAGATTAATTGATTGTCGGTATGTAGGCACAAAACACATGCCATGGGTCAGGGAAATTATGTATATTACATTGGATTTTTTTAAGCAAAGAGCATTTTGTTATTCATTTTAAATAAACATTGTTCTACAGAGTATTGAACTGAGGTCAATTGAGAATATTAATTAGTTTTCTCGTAAGAAGTATTTGGACAGACTGAAAGTCACTGACTAATTAGATATGGGCGATATGTTTCAACAATAACCTTATTATTAACGGTGGGTAGATGTTGGATGAGCGACGCATGTAGTTCCCTCTCTCTCACTCCACGTGGGTGTAACGAGTCAAGCACTTGTTTCATTTGTTCCGATTCTGTTATTCTCCACCAGCCATGTCTGTAATTGTTTATACATTGTAAAAGTGTATATATTTTTCTAAAAATAAATAAAAAATAAATTGTATTGAATTAAAAATTGTAATAACTGCAAAGTCAAGTCTCGTACCACTTCAATGATCTTAGAAAAATCATTAGTTTCTTCTTGTTCTTCTACTACAGTACTCAATTTCAATTATTAACTTACATTAATAATTGAAATTGAGTACTAAATTATACATATTTGGAAATGCAATTTTTATATGGGATACCTAAATAAAAAACTGCCGGGGACTGCCGCGGTAAAGCATAGCATTTTTTATAAACTTATGCAATATAATCATTTATTTATTTTTTCACGCCTATCCGATCACGCGAAACCGATGTGAGACACAGTATGCGTTCTGTCCGCTCTAACGCGTATTGGCCGCACCTATAATATTACGTCATCGTGTGTTAGGTTTATTTCGTTACGGAATTTCTTGATTCGGTCGCCGCGCTCAAAGCCCGCGACAAAATCTATGCAATAGCTTAAAAATAAATAAAATTATGCTATTAATCAATTTTGTAATATACCTTAGATCTTTAGGAACAAAATTCCCATCCACCTTCTTAGGCAAGCCATGGATTTTACAGTGCTCCAGCTGGTCCAGTTCGTCAGGCGACATTTGTATCGGAGGAGGTGAATCGCAGGTGACGTACGTCGATAAGGCATTGAAGTTTAGAAGCCCTAGGCTATTTAGACCTGAAGCTTTCGCCTTTTGAGTGGCAAGGTCCGCTTTTGTGGAGTCTGCTTGGAGTTCTTTTTCCAAGTCGTTTTCCTGTAATACATTATTGTATATTTTATAGAGATTTTACGTGAACAAAATCACTACATAGTATAAAACAAAGTTGCTTTCTCTGTCCCTATGTATGCTTAAATCTTTAAAACTGCGCAACGGATTTTGATGCGGTTTTTTTAATAGATAGAGCGAATTGAAGAGGAAGGTTTATATGTATAATAGCATCCATTAAATATGGATGGAGAAATACTGTTATTTTTGAGGTTTCTAATGTGATGTCGTATCTAAATCGTAAATAATTACATTTTTTCCGCTTACATTGCGAACCCTACGAGATTTATCAAAATAATGTACTAATTATTGTACACATTGGAAAGGTCTACAGAAAACTCCGTGATGGTATATGTCTCTCTCTTATGGATACCCCCAATAACATTTTTTTATCATTTACTTTTTACGACAAATAATGGCTAATTTTCGAAGCGATTTTAACAAATACAGCATTAATCCTTATCCAATTAAATACCTTAAACACATTGTGGATTTAATATAGATCTATATGGCCCTTTACAGCATATGATTTAAATGAATATTTTCGAAGATATTATAAATTTAAAAATTTCGGGACGCAGCGCATCGGAGGCCGTGCTTCTCCCTATACTCTATAGCACTTTGAATTTAGTATCAGCATTGCATCCGTGCGAAGCCGGGGCGGGTCGCTAGTAATTAATAAAAGCTATGTGCAGCAGCGAGCCTACTATGAACAACATTGGAATTATATTAATTTGTGTAAAGTCAAGTCAAACGCCCAAGCATGATTCAAGTTTAAACGATAAAATATGATACATAAACCTGTGGCGGAGTTTGTACAGCCCCTTTTGACTTGAAAACTAAATGTGTACAAAAGATCACCTATATGAATAAAATATATACTTTGGAAGAAAACACTTTTTTACCGGTGAGTCACCGTGCGTGATCACGCTGTAAAGCACGCGAAGCGTCGGAAATTTTTTATAACAATACATAACTTTAATACGGTAAAGTGTTTTCTTTAAATGTGTAAAAGTTATGTTAATAAAGACAATACTATATGTACTTTGACTTTGATTCCAATATCTTGTTATATATAGTATTAAGAATATCCATAGCGCAAAATCACCTGCATCATGAGCATACCATACATACACACCTTCACGTACTTACACTCACTTTTACACCATCACACAACACAGCCAAATTAGGTATTATTTAGTTGAATGTATTGAATAATTTTTTTTTGTTTGTTTGATTTTCTAAATTTTTGAACCTTTTTGTAGTAAAATGTATTATGTATTCCATCTCTGGCTATATTTTCAGTGTAACTGTTTGTTATTATGTATAATTTATTTTAGCTGTAGGATTACGAAATAAATAAATATTATATTCTAAATAATATCTCTAAAACTTACCGGTTCCTTCGTCTCCTCGACTTCCATTTCTGTATTATTCAAACTGGCGTCCATCATGTCTTGGTCCAAGCCTGACATCGTTAGACTTGAGTCCGCATAAACATTATTACACGGCACCTGTACACTCGTCACCATACTATTCAGTGTGAACAAACTCGGGTCATTCAATAAATGCAAATTATTCGAGACATCCCATTTATGACCCTGGCATTGTATGACTTCACTACATGTGTGTTCGTTATCACAATATTTCGGGACGTCATATTTCTCTTCGTTTATATTGTTTAAGAAAGCGTTCTCATGCCGTAGTATGGAGAACCATTTTCCGTCCAACATCTTTGAATATAGATGGGTATTCGCGGAGTCTGTTTCTATATCCTGCTGTTCTTGCTTTTCTTCTTTGATCTCATTTTCTGCTTTCTTAGCCGCGTCCAATTGTGAAGATACGGCTTCCGCCATTTTGCGGAGTTCCTCCAAATTGTTGACTAGAGAGTCTTTGGGCTCTTCCTGTTCTTTGTCGTTTGGTTCCGTTTTGGCGGGATTTTCAAGTTTAATTATATCCTGTGGTTTGTCTACGGGCTCGGCTTGACTGGCAAAGAGCGGTTTATGTGAAGGTTTTTGTACTAAAAATGCCGTCGGAATGGAATCTTCAATGTCCAACATGTCTTCTTCCTCGTGGCTCTTTTGTTGGATGTATTTTTCTTCCATTTTTATTCCTGAAAAATATATAACGTTTCGTTATAAATACTATTAAACGTTTATATAACGTTTCGTTATAATACTATTATTACTATTATTGAGAAGTTAGTTTCAATGACCCTAAAAGGCTAATAAAGTTAATCTTTAAATTTTTTTTTATTTCTTATCTACCCAAGAAATCCAGAATGGTGATTAGACAAAATAAGGATAAAAGAGAACAGTTATCACAAATAGTTATTTATATATAAAAAATGTTTGAATATATATTATATATCAAAATTAAGTATACTGCAAAGAAATTCCAAAAGATATAACTAACCTTCAACCTTACAAACAATTTTATTGGGTTCATATTTGATAATCTGAGTCTTGTCACTGAGGTTAAGTTCACTCTTGATACTCCGCAGTTCCTGTTCAGCTTCAGCATCAGACACCTTGTCTTGGTTTTCCTCAGTCTTAATATCTTCCGATTTTATTCCTTCTGTGGAAAAAAATACTTTTAGTGCTAATATTAAACATATTATATGTTATGTTATAAAAAGCAAATTATATAATCAGTACAAAATAAAGTGAATGATTGAATATTTTGTAAAATTTAACAATTTGATTGTTATCGATAAATTAATTATATCTAAATCTTATTAGCTTTATTATCCACTATTTTCTCCTAGAAACTGATTTCCCACAAACAGTATAGGTACAGAATTAGTCAATTGATAACTTTTCTTGAATTATTTGTACTTAAGTCCTTGCTTTATTAGTTAAAGCACATTGCATATAACTCAAGGTAAAATATGGATTCCTGACGAAATAATAATTTAACAGCCTAAAAATATTTTTTTAATTGAATTAAATATTACATACGTTTTGATTCGACTTTGACGCCGTTAATTTTAGCATCCTCTAGTTTCTCATGATACGCCATAATTTCGGATTGCGCTGACTCCATCCCTTCCACCAATACGCCTCCACATTTGCCCAACGACCAGTAACGACGCCAATACCTGAAAATTTATTCATATTATGGCCTAAATTATATTTTATATAATCGCGAAATCTATAGATATAACACATATAGACAAAAATAATTTTAACACTTCGAAATTTAAAAACAAAAATTCTCTATAGATTAAACGACCATTACTCCAAGTGTATAATATGCAATTCTTCATATCATCGCTATAGAATGATAACCTCGTATGTTCAGAGAACCAAACATTACAGGAAACAAAAAAGATGTTTCGTTTCGTCAATGTTCGTTAAAATATTATTATTTGTTTTTGTCCATAGTTTTGGATGGTAAAATTATTTATTAATAACATAAATAAGTCCTTACTTCATGATTATACCAGTTAAATGACATAAGAGTCTAAGAATAAAATAAAAATAATTGTTTTTTTGACATACGAGGTTATCTTTCTACACTGTAGATTCTACAGTGACGATATTAAAAAAAAGTTCAAATATATGAAAAGTATGCTGGTTATCGGGAACCTAGTTTCCGAGTGATTTCTGACAACAAGCGTCGGTAAAAAACTTGGCAATTACTAATAAATATATAAACTTGAAAAGGTTATTGTGAAAACATAGCAAAACTATTTAAAATATAACAAAAAGCCATTGATAAAGAGTCCTACATACCTAGAACGATATTTTCAATATGAATTCTTCATATTGAAATTATCACAGAAAAATACACAAAAAAATTTCCCAGAAAATATAACTTCATGTTTAATATGCCAAAGGTTCAAATTTTAAATCTTATTTACCTGTCTTGCCCATAACACGTGGCCCTCAATGAATTGGAAGCGGCGGCTAGTTGCAACACCTGCTGTTCGGATTGACGTAATAGTTTCTCTAATTTCCTTGATAACTCCTCAGATGATAGATTCTTGTCTTCGTCCTGCGAAGTGAAGAGATATAGATAATACAGATAATATTTAACGTAAGCTTAATTATTCCGTCATGATAGTTCAAGGGCTTGGGTTAATAATCTTATTTTCGACTTTCCAGTACTTTACACCACATAATGGTAACTTTTAGGTATAATTAATTAGGTGGTCACAAAACGTTTTACTATACTTGGGTACAGTACTTATACAGAAAAACGTTACGGCGCGTTACATGGGGAGGGGGGTCAATAATCTCCAAAAATTGCGTGACATAATACTTGAACGCTCCCAAACTACTTGCAGTTAGGTCGCTACATAATGGGTCTAGGACAACGCTGCCCCGTAAATTATTTTTAGTCTTAAAAAAAATCGGAAATAAATTTATTTTTGCTGCGCATTGATGGTATTTTTACTATAGATAACAAAATTAGTGGTGCTACAACCTTTTTAGGACTGGGCCTCAGATTTTTGAATCTGTTTCTTGATAATTTGTAAATCTAATAAACAAGAAGGTGATCAGCCTTTTGTGTCTGACACACCGTAGAATTTTTGGGTCTAGGGCAAGCTGGTTTCCTCACGATGTTTTCTTTCACTGTTCGAGCGAATGTTAAACGCGCACATAGACAGAAAGTCATAGACACATGCACAGCCGGGAATCGAACCTATGACCTCAGGGATGAGAGTCGCACGCTGAAGCCACTAGCCAATATTGCTCTGCTTTTTACTATAGATACCGATTGATAATCCGACATACTTGTGACAATGTCTCATACCCCATTTAAGAAGCGGGGCATGAGTTATAATTATTTAATTTTATAATAATTACCTCTTCAGGCTGCGTCCCTTCACTCTCCAAATCGCTCAATACATCGTCACCCATAACGCTATCTTTGTCTTTTCCTTCCACGGGAATTTCTTCTTTATTGTTGTTCAAAATCTCCTTTTTGCTCAGCTCTTTTAAGGGCGACAGTTCCTTGTCACTTGGCTCCTCTTCCTTGTATGGGGATGGTGTACTGGGTTTGTCCTCTGGTGAGAGGGATGACTCCTTTTTCGGTGTTTCTGACTTTTCTGGAGTTTCTGGAATTCATGATGGTAAAAACTAAGTAAATGACAAAAACATGTATACCAAGCTCCCTGATGTGAGATCTGTATTTCTGGAACCTGTGATTTCCCAGTTAATTAGTAGTATCACAATAAATAACAATTTGTATAGCAAAGCATATTAAGAGAGTCTGAACAAGTTACTGTATTCAGTTCGTACAAAGGATTATTTAAATATACTGATATAGAGGAATGCCATTTACCTAATCCTTACAAAATAAGTGTATGTCAAAAATAACTACTTAGAACGAAGCATTGCGGAAGCGAAACGAATTGATAAGGTAAAATTAAATTTAAGGATGCAAGAACAACATGTAAAAGACTGAAATGACACATGAAAAAGAGATGAAAGGGAAAAATTGGCAAAGAAGATAAGAGTGGTACCCTAGGGATGGAAAGAAAAGCAAGGGTGGGACGTGGCGATGGGGGGGAAAGTTAAAAAGGTTATCGGGGGCACTATCTTAGATTCTATGTGAAGAATAGCGAGGGGAAGATCAACATGGCGACATTTGAAGAGGATGGCTTTTGTCGAAAGATCAGTTGGGTTAGTGGTAATAATAGAAAATATTGTAAAAAACCCTAGACTAAGTACTAAAACCTTGTTTTATTTATTTATAGAGAATACCACGTACCACGAGCAGGTGAACGCATAATTCCAGAACTTTCTTCTACCAGCCGCTGCATTCTCTCCAATGCTAGAGCTTGTTGCTTCTCAGTTTGTTCCGCCCGTAACTTGCGTTGGTAGAGTGATCGAACTCTGTAATAACGTTTAATTTAGATTGAGTGTTTTAAAAACAATTTTTTAACTATATTAAACATTGTACAAACTTATATACTAGAAAATAATGATATAACAGCTAGCCAAGACAAATTATAAAGATAGTTATACACAATTAAAATTTAATTTCTCTTTGCAAAGATTAAAAAATAGCGTTTAATAATAACTATTTTTTCCAAGAATAATATATTTTCTCAGATATTAATGAAAACTAAGCAAAAATAGATAGGAATTCTATTTTGTTATGCAAAAACACTTAAATGCATTTAATACAGAATGGTTTATTCTATTATTTATTTACAAGAATATCAAGGCTCAATTCAAAGATGGCGGATCTTTTGGATCAATTAATTACGTAGACTTAGTTTAGGTATTAATTAGTCTTCATACATATTATATTACAAACATACATTTGGGCTATCAAAACAATAGAGTATCGGGACTTACTTCCGTATTTTAGCATCCATGAGGTATCTCTCCTTTCGAAGCTGGTTAAGGTGGTCTAACGAAGCATCCACTGCCCTTAGGACGGCCTTGCTTTGTAGTAGCTCGTCACAAAGATATGCCAACATTCGCGCCTTACTGCTTGGGTTTAGCGAGACGAAAGGTTTGTCACGAAGCATTTCTGGAATTATTAAGATTATTCAATGTATGTTTTACGTATCGCTTTCATTAGTTGATAAGAGCAGTGTGCGTAGATGCTTGACCGTGTGATCTTAGCCATAGGTTCGAATCCGGTCTGTGTTTCTCTCTATGTTTGCATTGAACACTTGCTGGTGCGGTGAAAAAAAAAAGTAGAAGCAAATCGCCATGTTCTAGATCTCAGAATCTCGTAAAAGATATCTCTGAGGCCAAAACTTTTGCGCCACTTAATTTTGCTCTTTTTTATAAAATAGGGATGCAAACGAGCCTACAGGACGACAAAAAAGGGCAGTCATAGCAGCCCATGGACACCCATTTTTAGTGGGTGCGTTATCGGCCTTTGAGAGACGAGTACACTCTAGCTTTGAATAATTGGAGGTCGTATCTCTCAGGGAAGACCCCACAGGAAGTCGATTCCACAGACACGAGCGGATCGGCTCGCTGTACTGACCTGTAACATTTCTTCGTAACGTAACTATAAAATGTTTCATGTCAGTCGCCGGCTTAATAAGTGAAACATAGTAATATCTAGTAGAGATGTTATGGATATGATATTTCGGATCACTGGCAACACGCCATATGGATAATACGCGGTAACATCCAATCGAATTAGATGGCGTGTTGTCGGATGATGTAATGATGACGTCATCTCGCAGTTTTATACGGTTACGATGTTATTAGATTTATTTAGTAAAATATCGAACACAATTAATTAGTTGTGATATAATATTCTTTTATATGACATAGGTTTATCTAGTCAAGGACATAACAGTTGGTATTATAATGGTCATATAAGTAGGTACATATATAACCTCCATCAATTCAGTTTTAGAAATCTATTAAAATAAAAGTGGGCGCAGATAAATTTGAATAGTTTATAAAAACATAATAAAAAGCTAAATACAATGCACATATAATTTTTTATAACCTATATAATATAGACATATTAAATTTTTTCTTTTAAATATTATTATCGAGTAATGTACACCATTCCAACAAAGATCCTCGTCTGAACCTTAAAGTTGGGTAAAAACTTCTGCACATTGCGCGGGATAAATCAGCGAAAACTTCCGAAAGTTGTGAAAGCGTGTCGTGATGTCGCGTGTAGGTTGTGCACGATGGATATATTGTTTTCGGATATCCGATTACGTCGCGTCGCGTTTTAGTAGTATGTTTCCGCCTTAATAAGTGATAGTAATATCTAGTTTAATTTTACACGTCGTAAAACAAATACATTAGTTTTATCCCCGTGTTCATCTTATCACATATTTTACAGTGCATGGTCATGGAAACGACTACTAGAAAATTTAATTTTAGACAATAACATTTATTTTGACACATACCTGATAGTTTATAAGTGCTATTATTGTGTAGATGCTCGTAATATGCCGCGTTTTTGGTGCTCACGCAGGTTTGTTGCATCTCAGCATCGCTCTGATGATGATCAGCAACACGACGTTCTCGTTCTCTTTCCACTGTTAGGCCTGGAACCAAAAGAATTTACATAACATACGAATAAATGCTAAACGCTAATATCGGAACTATTTAATCGACATTTTAATGACTTCCGATATCGATACGGTTTCGAAGCCCAAGCTTGTGACATCAGCGCTATGGATATTGAAAAAAATACATAGTTATTTCATATAAAAACGTTAAGATCGCTATTGCTATGGCTATTAGAAGTGTACGCTGGATCAAATAAAAAATGTTTAAATGTGTCGGGCAGTCTGTTTATCGATTAAGGCTAAAGAACATAACACCACTCTTGCAATAACAAATCTAATGTAATTTTACGTATGAATGAAAAAAAATGTTGCAAGGTTCAAAAAAAAGTTACTTAAAAGCAACAAATTGTTGTTTTACTGGGAATTGAACTTGCAGCCGAGTTGGAGAGTCACAGATAAATAACTCACCTGTCAAAGCCTTAACCTCGCCCGTAGCGTTAGCATATAGGTATATTCGCAGCACCTCACTGAGATTTTCAGGCCGTATATCACCGAGACGTATCGCCTGTCCCAGCAGCGTTGTATGTCGTCCCGGGTGCGGTATACCCGGATCCTCTGTAATTTAAATTGGCTTTAAGATTTACATAAGAAGTTGGTAAAATAACGTTATATATTAAACTTTGCCGTACGTTGCTTGCCTTTTAGGAATACGCACTTTTCTATAACACTAAGTAAGGTTCTAATTAATAATACAGATACGGGCAAACAACTTGAACAAATGTCCTTGCCTGCGCAGAAGCGATTTTTAGGTATCACTGGGAGGTTCGGCGGGAGAGCGACGTGTTGATCGCGTGATTGGTAAATCAGTTGACGTTTGTGTCCCGCGATGCGCAATCTTTCCCCCACTCCCTTGTTTAATGCTTAAGAAGTTTGCCGGTTTTTGTAGTATACAGCAGAATGTGCCTTACGAAACGCTTAGTTTTGGAACGACGGGCTCAAGTATAACTTTGATATCCAACTGGGTGAATTAGTATAAAGAAAACTCGCACCCCGCTATTTATTTATAGATTAGAACTACCTAATTTCATTAAATATTTGTTTTACCATGTGTAATATATTTTATAAGTTTAAAAATAGTCGCGCATTAGCTAGATGAATGTAAAGCATCTATCGACTTGATAAAGTATTTTACTTGGGAAGGAAATATTGTGCTCTACTATACTAATATTATAAAGGTTTGATTTTTGTTTGCTTTGAAAATGAATGAGAAACGAAACTTACTGGACCGATTTCAAAAAGTGAGGTAGGTTCAACGTTGAATGTTACTAACTAATCCAGAAAGTTGCATATGCTATAGGTTTCACCTTTCAAAAAATTAGGTAGCCTACTAAAACTTATGCAAACTCATTGTCTCTTCTTGGTTATAGTACTGGTACAATAAGACCCTGTTGTAGTGTGTCTAATGTTGGCAGCGCTTATTGAATCGATATTAAACTTACAGGGCTAGAAAATTACTGTCAGCTCTTTTTATTTTTTATTATTGATCCTTAGTTAAAATAAATACCAAGGTTGTCACATAATTGCTACAATTTAATAGAATGACCATGTTCTAAAAAAGTCATGGTGGAATTTGAGTGTCCTACTTGCTGATTTCCATCAATAGTTTTAACTTTACAATTACGTAAATAACAAAATCGTTAGCCACAAAGGGACCCTGTGCCGAGTTATATCCGACTAGTCTTCTAAGAAATCTCCATTTACACACGAATTTAGCTAATATGTTTTTACATATTTTATCGATATGAGAAAAAGTAAACATTTACTTTGTGGTACCTATAATAAAAATGAAGTTTCTATAACGAGACATAAAAAATTACAAAATATTTATTACAAATCATTAGGTACAAAAGTAATCGAGTGAGCCTGAAGTCTAGTGAGACCCAGTCTGAAATCTTTTTAGCATTTTACGTTTATAGTCCTAGGTATAAGTATCACCAGTTCGAACTGTGTCGTTAATGTAGGCACAAAGCTCTGCAAAATCGTGAAAGATCGATAAGAACCTACGGAGGAAGCGATGTTGGCTGAAACTGTTCTTTGGGTGAATTTGTAGGTAATATTATGCTAAATTTCATTAATGCTTATAATTAATTTTTGAAATTGTTTAATTTTGTTTTGTTAGACTGAGACAAGTTCTGGTTGGTAATTATATCTCTATGTATGTGTGTTAAACTTTCGTAGTTGTACATATGTTACTGTATCGATTTTGTTAGCCATAACAGATTGTTTTCTGAACGTTTAAAAAAAATATATCGTTTTATTGCCATCTTTAATTACTGTCATAGCTCTGGTAGATACAAGAGATTTTAATTAATAAATAGGCTCTTTGTGTGTTGAAAATCTGAATATTTTAATGAGTTTCAAATGGATTTAATTTAATTATTGGTACAAATAACTAACATTGAGGACACACATTCATAGCCCGAAGTTTACTCTGCTACATGTTCGGCTATGGGACTTAAAAACGTATTTTTTTTTTACAGAGAGTTTAAATTTACCAAGACAAAACTCGAATGTCTATAGTATTTGATACCCTAATTTGTAACAATGAAAAAACTGTAAAAACTTACCAATACCAAGCGCCTGTCCAAAGTTGTGTAGGAACTCATAAACTTGTAGGAGATCAGCGAAGGCCTGCCCTGAGAGTTTGAGACCTTGTATCCTTTCCAGGTTGGGAAGCGGCTTTTGGTCTGACAGGGATGAGTCTTCCTGTGGTCTCCTACAATGCAATTACAATTATATGTAAGCCATTCAAGGAAATACTATTTAAACAAACAAAAATCATTTATTCATGTTGGTAACACAATGTACACTTATGAACGTCACAAAAAAAAAGAAATATGCATTAAATGCTTCTAATTTTACATTTACTGCCAGTTCTCAAATCAAGGGCATAGAACGGAAGAGAAGAACTGGCAATAAACTCTCCGCCACTCTTTAATCGCCAAGTTTTTGTTTTACACAACGTTGTGTAAGGAGCTGCAACCATTACACCATGTTCCACACGACAGTTGATCTAAGTAATAAAGAATAATAAAATAAATTAAAAACAAAGATTTGTCCTCTATCAATTAGCAGGAGGCATGGTGAAATAGGAGTACGCACTTACATTCTCGTGGATACTCGAAAGGCAAGTATGAGTTTATCTTTGTCTAACAACCAAAAACAATTATTGTTTCACCGGGACTCGGACCCAAAACCTATGGGTTGGTAAGACAGTGATATTATTTAGCAACAAATTCTTTGTATAAATATTTAATTTCTTTGTTTTAATTACTTCATTGAAAACCCGTTCATCTATGTAAAATTATAATTATCTCTTTAGTATTACAATAACATCATTTATCTAATAGTTCACCTCAATTCAGACAACAGCTCCATCTCTTTACGTCTTTGCTGTAACTTCTTCTCTTTAACTAGCAATCGGTCTAAAAGATTCTGGTGTTTTCTTCGTTCCCTTTCTTCCCATCTTCTTCTGGAGTCAAGTTGTCTGATAAATGTTGTGTGTTGTCGTCTTCTTTCACGTTCCTACAACGTAACGTATACTATAATACTACTAATACAAGTATGATTAGTTTTTGTTAATCTGCTCAGCAATCTTGCAAGATATAGCAGGATTATGTTAAGACTAGCTTTATTATTCATATACGTCAAATCGTTCGTTTTTGATGAAAAATTACATTTATAATAAGCGACTGAAAACTTGGTTATTTTATTGATAAAAGCTTACCAACGCGGTACACTGATACTTTGGTAAAATAACCACAAAATACAATTTTTAATGTGACAAGCACTTAAAGGCAAACATGATATTAAAGAAAACAATTTGAACTAACACCCGTGTAAATCATATTGCTTTAATATTTACTTATTTATATTAATATCATCAGACGCATTTAAAGAAATGGAGACAAGGGGGATAAACAAAATTATAGATACGGTATATAATCAAGAACCTCCTGAAATTGATAAGGATTTTAGAGTACTATGTTGGTCAATAGATGGCGTTAAAACAAAAAGCGTGTTAAGTTTTAACTAAGCAAGTACACACTAGAAACCATTCACCAACTTTTATTACATCAACTATAATTACCTCAGTTATATACTTTTGCTGTACGGAGCCGTACGTGAACGCCGATTGAAAAAAAGATAAAAATTTATTTACAAATAAGCACACACAAAACCACTTTACCGTCGATATTATTTTTTGAGATTTCATAAAAGAAAGATTTTAGGACCCAAAAAGAAAAGAAAAAGTAATTGGAATACGGACCAGGCATTTCTATCACAAAAATACAGTGATTAGTCTATCTCCTTCTCTACTCTTATACTTTTATGACGTCAGTAAAAATGAGATTATCAGGGATACAGACGCTGACATATAGAATATACATTCTACTTATTGGTAGAAACGTCAAGTAAAAATAAGCTTGTTCTTTTCTCACCCTTATTTAATGTTATTGTGAAGGAAAGAGACAAATTTAATATCGGCGGTAGCTATTTACAAAACCGATTTTCCAATACAAAATAAATTATTTAAGCTACGGAGTGCGCTTAGACTTAGTTCCAACTACCAACTGTCTGATGTAAAAAACCCATCGTATAGAAGTAAAAATAACATACAAGTTTTACAATTAACTTTACTTCAATCATTTGTCCGTTTAAAAGCCTAAAAAAAGTTAAGGAAAATCGGCATTGCAGCATTTTTAGTTAAAAAATGTTAACACACAAAAAACCAAACAAACAAGTAAAATCGAACTCAGCTCACCTGCTCTTTGAGTAACATCGCCTGATGTCTTTTTATTTCTCTCTCCTATAACAAAAAGCAAATCTTAAAAAAAAAAAAACCTCAATACACGATTTGATTGATTAGTTACACAGTACAAACTGAGTTTTAGTTTAATATGGAAAACAAAAATTAAAATAAAGACAACGTCATCAAACAAAAACTTACCACGACACAATTTTTTTACAAATTATACTGAATATTAAAAGTATAATCATAAATTAAAAAAAAATAATAATAACCTGTTGTCTTTTCGCCTGTTCGTCGTTTTTCTGTTTTTCAGCATCCTCTTGCTTTCGTTTCTTAGCCTTTACATACATTGAAAGCGAGCAAATTAAAAACGCGTACATGAAACAAATGAAAGGAAAACTTATATTAAAAAAAGCCAAGCATAAGTGCAAAAAACTATAGAAAAAAAAGTGAAAATTTCAGAATCGCTAAACGCCATGCCCGGTGCGACAACTATTTTAATTTCAATAATTATTTATATGCGATTTTTATTAGACCCAGCGCAGTGCAAACACTATTAATATTAATTTCCAAATGTATCAATCTAACAAAAGATCGTACGGTGAAAACATCGCGAGGAAACCGACTCGTGTCAGAAGGCTGTTCACTGAATTATCGATGAAACGGATGCATTTTGCCAAGACCCATATAGGGTTGTAGCGCCACTGGATTATCATTATTATGAAATATATGAAATTGCAGTGTGAAAACCTAAACTAAATAAAAAAGCACTTAGTTACATGACATAACATTAGCGATCGTCTATGTGTAGGTTATTAAAATGATTATTAATAGGCTAGTATAAGCCCTGAGTAGCCAATAAACGAGTAGCGTGTCTTTGTGATAAAATGCATGATGTTTGTTATGATTAAATGAATTTGAATGATTGAATTGTTCAATGGGTTTGTTTCCGTTATATTTTTTTAATTAATTGTTTTGATGCGTTTAAAACCTTAGAAATTTGAATACGATAGAAGCAATATGATGGTAATTAAGACTATCGTGTGATTCAATGTGCATTTAAGAAAGCGTGCATAATAAAAATGGTTAGTTCCAACAATATCCCATAGAACCATACTCATCACCGAAGACCATAGAGAAATGTCCACAGACCACAGATAACATTGTTAGTTGAATTTGTTAGTTTATTTCAATTCGACGTACCGGACTGTAAACGTCCTTCGCGAACGGCTGAACAGATATAGATAAGGCGCCATCTTTTCCCACATTGAACGTGCCTTTGGATAGTTTTTTATTTATATCAGCTAAAATATCCTCGTCACCACTGAGGTCGATCACATCTTTTTTCTGGTCTTTGGGCATCAACATGAGATTTTGGGACATAAACTCGTTTTTAGCGTCTAAATACTTCTGTTCTAAGCTCTTTTGGTCTTGCTTATCGTTATTTTTGGACCAATCACAGCCGTTTATAAACTCCGATATCCGCGAATAAGAATTGATCAATTTCTCTAAATTATTTTCGCCAACTGGTTGGGCTTGTTCTTTTTTTCTAGCCTTTTCTGCTGCCGCAACGAGTGAGATGTCGAATATTTTATCATTAGGCCTTTTTGGCAGATCGAAGGCGGCCTTTTCAGCAAAGTCTTTCATTTTGTCCAAGGCATTGTATTCTTCGGATTCCTCTTTCCAAATACCTTGTTCATAATTTAATGTTTTGATTGGGGAATCTTTCCCGCTCACTGGTATTAAGGATAGGCTAATCTGTGGCATAGTTCTATCTTTTTTCGGCGGTAATATCGTCTCTGGTACTTTCCATTCGTCTTTCATTGGCAGCGCTTCGATTGTCAATTGTGTTCTATTTTTGTTGATATGCTGTTTCGAATTTTTCCATTAATATATATATCCCATGATTCTTCTATTATCAATTAGATTGTTGACAACATTGTCAAGTTTAGGTGTTAGACAGACAGAACCGTGGTACAATAGAACAAGTTTGATTTAACTGCTAAGGAAATAGCTAAGTATAATCACCATTTATGACAACAAAGGACTTAGTAATTACAAATATTAAATTATTATTTAAATATGACATTTTCTATATAAAAGCGAAAAGTAATAAAATTATTGAGACCTTGTTTTATTAAACCACGGACACACAGCCCAATAGATAACATACATACATAATTACATATGTATACTACATACACACATACTAAGCTAGACCAAGGTACCGAACTACAATAAAAACGTCGACTACATGTGAGCACAATGTTGCCAAGCATCAAATTGATAATAAAACACAAGCACAGTTTAAAAACAGATAAAATACTAGACGTTCTCGTGTTACAGTACTTAACGAGTTCGATTACTAGAATTTTCCAATTTTGAATTTCGTAACCATCTACGGTTACCATGGCAACGTTTGTTTGAATCCGAAAAATTAGAATCAATTCACACATACATTTATTTAAGTACAATAACACATGAACGTCAAAGACAAAAACAAAACTATAAATATACCATAAACAAAATACCCAATAGGTTTGTTTACCTCTACTAATTGTTGACTTCTGACCTCTTTTTCCCGTTTTACTAGTTCAGCCTTTTCAGAACGTTCGTATTCACGAACAAAGCGGGCCTGGAATTTTTTGAACGAACAAGGCTTTTTATTAAGACTTCTTATACACAAATATGTGTGAAAAATAATTTATAGGAACGGTAAATGCGTAATACGTTTAACTAGTACGTATAAACTGATTTATGACGCATATTATTATCTGTATTTGAACATCGACACATTGTCCAATACCGTAACTGGTATAAAATCCTTAAACATCAAAGTTACTCGACTTTTTGCCTTGTTGTGAATATAATTTGTCTTTTAGTTTCATATAACGACAATCAACGGCCAGAAAATAAATCCCTTCAGCGTACTAATTACGCTGTATATGGGTATTACTGTTTTATTTTTATTTATAAGTCCTAAATTAACACATGAAACTGAAATAACATTAAAAAAAATAGTAATGCAAAACACAAAAGCAAGAAACATATAGGCATGACAGCAAAAACTCAATAAAACTAATTAAGTAAAAACTTATTAAAGGAATATAAACATAGGTGTATAATAAGCATCTCATAATTCAGTACCGTAGGCTAACACTTGAGGTGGTAATTTTTTTTTAAATTGTACTAGTACGAAATCGTAAGGAATCTTCGATCGTAAAATCGTCGTGTATATGTCGCAGCCAACTAGCTTTATAAGCCGTTCAATTAACAGCCTAGCCTCTTAACTAAACACCGTCTAACTAGCGGCCTGAAAGATAGTCAGCCGTAGGGTTTGCAACAACGTTTAATAAACTGGCTTGCTAATGCTTAGGCCATTCGTCCGATAGAGTGATAATGTGACAGAAATAAAAAAGATTAAACATCTGACATAAAATTATTTCTTTAAAAATTAAATTGCTGGAGTCAGTCACAGCTAAATTCATATTATTATTGTCTCTACACTAGGGATGTGAAAAAATAATCGATTATTAAAAAAATCGATTTTAATCGATTTTTTAAAAAGTAAAAATACGATTTTTATATTTAAAAAAATCGATTAATAATCGATTATTTTTATAATTGAAAATCAATCATAGTCGATTTTTTATCTGCCACCTCCCGACATTATGTCTGGTCTTTTATAACCCGGACCTCGAACTATTAGGGATATTCAATATACAACGATGTTTACAATGCGATACATTGAATCCGATTCCTTGAAGATGTATTGATATACGATTAAAATCGATTTTTTAAAAAGTAAAAATCGATTTTTTTACGCGATTTTTATATTTAAAAAAATCGATTAATAATCGATTATTTTTATAATTGAAAATCAATCATAGTCGATTTTTTATCTGCCACCTCCCGACATTATGTCTGGTCTTTTATAACCCGGACCTCGAACTATTAGGGATATTCAATATACAACGATGTTTACAATGCGATACATTGAATCCGATTCCTTGAAGATGTATTGATATACTCGATGCATTGATGTTTTTTTGTAAAACATCGAAAGGATGATAAAACCAGTGAATTTTACAAAAACTCAAAGTTTGAATGGAACACTATAATTTAAAAGTAAAATAAATTTATTCAGCAGCACAAGATTACATAAAATTAAAAAGACAACAAAAATTCTGCTTCTGAAAAAGCATACACTCAGCATTTAACAAATTTCAAAAACGAGATTAAGTTAATTTCGATTTTGATTATACTTAAACGTTAATTTGTGTTTATAATTTTTATTGTTTATTTATAATTAAAAAAAACATGAAAAATAAAATATTTAGGGTGATTATTTTGAAATTAATTCAAAAATTAGGAAAAAATCGATTAATAAAAAAATCGATTATTTTTTAAAGAAAAATCGATTATTTGTTAATCGATTTTTCATGCTAAAAAAATAATCGATTAATAAAAAATCGATTTTTTATGCAGAATGTCACATCCCTACTCTACACTCTTCCATTGTACTTGTTGTTTTTCAATAAACTTTGGAAAACACAATCATAGTTGTGATTTTCTGGAGCCATATTGACAGTTTGAAGAGTTTCGTTTCTAGTTTGAGAATGGCAGAAAGAGTAACTAAATTTAAATTACCAGTCAACAGGCTAGGAAAATAATGAAACGTCATTGATCCATGTCATTTGCCTAGCTGTTGAATATCTTGCAGGCCGCTAGTAAAACGGCCCGTTTTAGTTAAGAGGCTAGGCTATTAATTGAACGGCTTATTAAGCTAGTTGGCTGCGACATATACAAGCCCATCTTTTAAAGGATCAATGTATGAAAAAATGATGAATAATTTGTGTAATTAGGGGCTATAAGATTTTAAATATTAAGTCACCAGTACCTGATCCCGATTCCTATGAGAGGCGTCCCTCCTAGCGTCCCTTGCTGCTTGTTGTCGTCGTGCGAGTTCTATTCGCCTTTCTACGGGCGGGGGCGTGGACCTAGGCCCAGCTAACGCTGCCAAGGCTCGGGCTTCTTCTAGTCTACGAATGCAGAGATAAATATTAACCCATAAAGTTATAACTAAATGATTTGGTCTTTATTTCGTTCATTTTATCCTTTACAAACATATTACTACTTATAAATTAAAAGTATTATTTTAGTACTGTGTAGTATTTCATAACTGGTGGCATAAATTGTATTAAATCTAATAAAATTTGTATCAAATAATTCTGTATAAAAATTCCTGTATCACTTGCAATATTTGATAGTATAATGTTCCGAAATGCGACAAATGGTAACCGTCGAACTCTAGACAACCCCGACAACTTTGATAGTGCTCTAAAATCTAGCTAAAAATTGATTATCTACGAACATACATGCAATTTTTTGTATTAAATTCTCAAAAAGCGAATTACCTCTTGGAGATGTCAGTTTCAGTAAAGATTATGGGGTCCGTGTCGGCGGACGTCTGGACGTACTCTCCTAAAACTGTTCGCGAACTGAAGCTGAAGTTATCGAGCGATAATGCCGGACACGGGTTAGCGTCCAGGTACTGTTAAAAAAGGTACAATGTATTTAATTTTAGTATCACACATTAAAATAATATACACACACAATAACGCCTGAACCCAATAACCTATCTCAATCCATAATCCACCATCTGAGATCATACTATTAATCCAAATGTGGTAACAAGTGTGCCAATAACCAATCGACGGATTGTAATAGCCATCTGTCGATACAAGCTAGGTATCCATGGGAGGTCGTATCGGTATCTGTGGATATAATAGTCCTTTGTATGAAAATGACAGTTGACGAAAGCTCGATTTCAACAGTTAATTATTTTAACAGATTTTAACTTACGATCGACTGTCACGATCTGATTGAAATCAATCTGAGATTGTGGATCAATTATAGGGTTTGGGCGTAAGTAAATATGTCGGGCTAAGTGTAATATGGTAGAGCATAGGTCATTTACGTCAGAATTGTCTGGAAGAAACCGTTTAACAGTACAACTGCCCTTTGATAAAAAGTAACCAAAGGATTGCTACTTTTATTTTTACTTGTTTTGTGTTAGAATAGGAAATAGTGCTCATTATTATCTTAGTTTTATATTTGTATTTTATTAATCTCTTTCTTTTTACGTGAACTTATGATATGATTATTCTATAGACAGTTTTTGTTGGGACCGTCAAATTTTATACATGATAAGAAACGAAGGGTATTTATAATAACGTACCTATTTGTTAAGCGTAGTAGTATACTATAAAAACGTACTTATTATCGATTACTGTATAAACGGTTTTCTGGTACTTGTATTAAAATAACTTTTACTGGTATGAATAATAATATTTTTAGTTAAAATTTGGCCTATGGAAATTTGGTGTAAATAAATAATAATGCTTAGAGATTTGACTATAAATAAGAAGTGTTTATTAAGATCATACATTATTAAAAATGCCTATATAATACGTACATTCTGTAACTCCTGAGTGGACTTAATATGAAGAGCGGTGTGTGGCTCTGGTGGGGAATAACTCACGTCACCCTTAATATTGCAATTACGAGAGAGACCCTTTATTACTGTCACCCGCTTCCATCCTGAAAAACACGTAATAGATATTATTAACCGACTTTAAAACACAACAGGTATATTCCAGCTTGGGTAATAGTCTAAGTCTCACACAAAATCGGTTCAGTAGTTTTTGAGATATAGGTATCCACGCATTTGTATAACTTTATATAGTGCTGATATTTCTTCCAAGTAGAGATATATCGTTACGTGCAAGTCTAATGAAAGCATTTCTAGACTTTTTGAGGATGGACTTTAAAACGGAGGAGATTATCTGACCGTAAGACATTACAATAGTCAGTCTCATACCACGGTATTTTTTTGTAATAAGACCTACTAGCTTTGCATTAATATAACTCTAATATATATATATTAATTAATTAATAAAAAGAAAATATTATCACGACATACAACTATATTGGATGATGTATTACTAAATCAAAGATACCTAAAGCCAAAGGCAGCCGTAGTAACGCATCTAGCTTCCTGCCTGAATCACTTGCGTCCGAGTCGGATGGATTACTATCAGATTGCTGGCATTCAGAGTCCGTACTCGCCCCTTCGCCCACTAATGCACGGAGTTTCTCCTGCAAGTAACAATAGTATAAAACATTACATTCAATTAAAAAATCGTGTAACTTCAAAGCAAACAAAAATGGTTGATTTTGATTTAAATTCATATTAATTTTTATTTTTTGTCAAAAAAGTTATCGATACCTATGTAGACTTGTTGATTGTAATTCCTAACTGATAAATATCATGCAAGGGACATTCACATTTTCTTACCAAATCAGTCTCTCCTAATAACTGTTGCGCGAGCGCAGGCCGTAAGCCAAGGGCGCGACTTTGCGCAAGAAGCGATGCGACGGTATTCTTCTTGGGCTTGCTTACGCCACGCCCTAGGTTACGCGGACGTCCCTCCCGAGTAGGCCAGGGAGGCACGGCTAATTTAATATAAGATTTTTGTTATTTTGTGTGAATAATTTGATAAGACAAACATTTCATTATTAAAAAAAATTACACAGAAAGGCACATAATTCGATAGTCCTTCCTGGCATTGAAATTCAATAATTTTTGGACATAAAATCAAAACTTATTTTTAGTTCTTGATTTTATGCTGACTTAGACAATTAATATGTGCCTCATCAGAATGTTTTAAAAGAGTATTGAAGATATAAAGGGTGTCTCACATAATAACAAATCAACATAATATTATTATTACATTAATTTTCTTGTCTGAAACTTATAATGAATTTACATTAAAATCAGGACTAAATTAATATGAAATGAGTAAATGAAATCTAACTTAACTTATTACGTCATTATACGTCTAATTACAGCTCTTGCAGTATCTATTAAGAGTCTGTTCGTGCTTTATTTTAGTAAACTACGTATACATGAATCGTCACTAGATTTAACATCCAAAGATTGACACATTACCCATACCCCATATACTGTGTAACGGAGTGTTCAAGTATTACGTCAAACAATTTTTGGAGATTATTGACCTTCCCCCCCAATGTAACGCGCCGTAACGTTTTCTGTACCCAAGTATAGTAAAACGTTTCGTGACCACCTAGTGACTCTTTATACCTAAAAGTTACCATTATTTGGTGTACTGGAAAGTCGAAAATAATATTAACAATAACGCGTAATTAAATCCCCGCCCCGCATCGTAACGTTTTACAAAAGGACCCCCCCCCCCCAAATTCGTTACGTAATATTTGAACGATCCCTAAGTGACGTATACGTCCAAACTACTTGAATTTGGTTTTGCCTCCTTTTCCATACAATAAATATATTTTCATAGAATAAAAAATATTTCCAACGCAGTCCTTCATTATAAATACTTTACACTTAACACCCTGTTTAAGTATTAATACTAATTGAAGATTCAAAAAAGTATATAGAAATTTAACTTACATTCACTGTCCTCGCTCCCACTGGAACGTGGTCGCGGACATTCGTTGGGTTCGGGAGCTACACGTCGGGGTTTTGCGCCAGGCTTGCGACGTGCTGAGGAAAATATTCATATTAGTTGAAAGATATGAGTGCAGGTGGTTTGTGAATTGCGGTATTCTCAACTTTGAGATAGTTCGTTCAAGTTCTGATTGTTTACCATTGAATTGTTTTTCAAGTAGAACTTGTTCTTAGGCTGAAGGTTAACATTGTGACGAAGCCGGCATTCATAGAGGCATTAATCAGGCACTGAAGGCTGATCATCTACTTGAGTACAAAAAAAAAATTAAAGGAACAGGTCAAATCTGAGGCCAATAGGTTTTATAGTGCCGCTTGATTATTCAAGTAGAATATACAAATATATAAGCTAAGCCTTAGATTTATGAATAAAATTGTTTTTTAAAGAGTAAGTTATGTTAATAAATGTCGCCTTTGAAAAGATACGTTTTTTAATATAACTAAACTACTCACATATTCTCTCATTAGACGCACTGAGTGAACTGCTAAGTGATGTAAGTCTTGATAGTGCATCCGATGCTTGTGAATTTGCTGAAATTTCAACTTTATTAATATACCAAATTTCAAGAAATAAGTACTTAAAAAAGACTATTTTTTTTTAAATATAAATGGTATGTGCGGCTTATAAAGCCAAAGTTTCTGTTCCTATGATACCCAAGCTGAGCAAATCAAAATTTATTTAATTTATTGGAAACTATATACACTTATGAACGTCAAAATGTAATAAACTAATGATAAAGAGTTTTGAATATTCTTTTTCACAATATATTGACCAAAAATAATTAGTTACACGGGGAATCAAACACAGGGTCCAAAAAACTATAGAAACTATGAAAATCTATTTTTACTTACGTGGCGCAGGTTTTAGGGATAAATTTAAAGGCGCATCGTCCTCAGTAGATTTGGCACCTAGGTCCATAGGAGTGTCTTCTGTACCAGACCTGACACTTAAGTTTAGTCCCGAGTCAGTCGGGTTAGCACCTGCTAACTGCCGTTCTAGCGCTGCTAAACTAACTCCACTTTGACTTGCTATAGTTTGTAGTAGCTCCCTTGAAATACCTGCAAAGAAATGGTATTATAGTATAATAAAAACATTTTTATCCGCAATGAATGCTGTAACTGCAGTATGAATTTCACTATTGCATTTTCTAAATAAAAAAAGCCGAATCTCTCTGAGATGAAACAAGGAAGCAATTTATGCGTCATCCAAAGCAGTAAGAATTTAAATTTATATTTTAATTAGAGATTTATTATTTTTGATAGTCTTCTATAATAATTTGTTTGAATAGTATAGTTAAGTTTCCCAAATATCAAATAAAAATTACCTGCATAATCGGAGAGATTTGGCGGTGGAGTGGCTGATAAAGAATTTGATGAACGGTCAGGCTTATTAGGTAGTCTAATCACCTCCACCGATGATCTTGAATTGCCATACTCGTCCTGAAAATAAATTAATATTAGAATTCTCATACAGAAATAAGAGTCCAGCAGCTGGCTACTATCACATGTATAGCTAGCTGGTTACAGTATGAATGGGATTAGAATGGTTTAAACAAACAGTTTTATGTCCTATTTAGAAGATGTTTAATGGGGTCTGTAGAAATATAAGTTGAAGTAGAGTTGGAAAGAAAAAATATTATTAAATCATATTTATGGACAGGAAAAATAATCTACAGTTTTGCAGCTTAAAATACTTACAACTTTTTGCCTCTTATTAGGTAGTGGGGTGCTTCTATCACTGGACGGGTGAAGTGATACGTGAGGCGGGTCCAATGATATTGTCTTTTTGCGACCACGGTTAGTTGACCCTGCTGGAACCTAGAAAGAACACCAAGTTATTGCAAGAGTGTAATTACAATTTATATAATTTTTTAATTTAAAAAAAGGTTTTTCACAACCAAACCATTACCATATACCAAGTCATTATTTACCTTAGGTCCCGTTAATGAAGAGGTATATTTAATAATTTCCGTGTCTGGTGGAAGCCTCACTCCACCCAACACTGACGCCGGATCACTGAAAGAATTGATAACCTGTTAACTTGAAACTGCTTTAACAGTGACATTTAGCTCAGTTTTAATAATGTTTCCAAGATTTATATCAATTTGTATAAATCTTAACTTTGTTAGTAAAAAGTATATAAAAATAGACTCGACATTTTACGTTATACCAGAGTATTTTTTAAACAAGAGATTGACAAAATTTCTTAAAATATAAAACATGAAACCATACCCTCCTTCCAACGCGGCACTATAAAATAAAAATATATATAATATTGATTATATTATATCTAAATTATAACTAAAATAATTATAAGCAATATTCGCGTAATTTACTTGAACTTAATACAAGAACTCAGTGATATTATCAATTAATTACCTGAGTAAATTATGTGGTAGGCCAGTCAAGGAATCTATGCCAGTACGTCTGTCCTTCTCTGAACCGGGCATTCCGAAAGGATAAGGTAGAGGCATGTTCTGCAAGAAAGGAATATTATTAGTGGTATTGCGATGATTGTTTGTAATGGTATATTCCTCTACAATATACTTGTGAGCCTAAAAAATTACTTTGAATTAAAGTTAAGAGCTGGTCTGAATTCACGCTTTCTTCTTTGCTAAATTAATGAGTAAGATACAAATATTTAAATATTGTAAAAAATATCTTAAAGACCGAACTTTATAAATGAATCAAAACACTTACATGAAGTGAGAAAACCGAACAATTATAATCATAGATGCATTAAAATACAAACTTATATCCTAAATGCAGATATCTCACCTTTGTCCACAATTTAAAACTCCCTTAACCTAATGAAAGGTTCCTTTCTTAGTAACGAAATCGTTCTATAACTTTACGTATATTGTGTACATAAGTACTAACATGTTTGAATCTTACCTTTCCCTTAGCGGCAGCTGCTACAGCAGCATGATACGCTCCTTGAGCAGCAGCCTGGGCCAACATTAACTCACTTCGCAATACAGATAAATCTCGATCTTTCTCCTTCGTTGATGACTTTCCTGAAAGTAATTTAATTATTAAACACCATTTTTTTTTCTAAAGTTTTGAATAGAAATACTGGAAAGAAGTAGAGGAGGCCTTTGCCATAAGGCATAACTAACATTGTTTAGAAATAATTTCGATTTACATAGACACGTTATAATAAAGTGTGTGTGATTTACATAATTATATATACACTTTATTTAGAGGTTTAAATGAACAGCTAATTAATATGGATGGTTTCTTATAGACAATTGCTATTGAATTTTGTAAATACTGTATCAGGGAGCGTTTAAGTATTACGTAACGTATTTGGGGGGGTCCTTTTGTAAAACGTTACGATGCGGGGCCGGGATTAAATTACGCGTTATTGTTAATATTTTTGTCGACTTACACCACATAATAGTAACTAAAGAGTGACTAGGTGGTCACGAAACGTTTTACTATACTTGAGTACAGTACTGTACTTGGGTACTGAAAAACGTTACGACGAAGTTACATGGGGGGGATCAATAAGCTCCAAAAATTGCGTTACGTAATACTTGAACGCTCCCTCATCCAAAATAAGCAAATGTGTATTTATATGCGTTCGGATATTGCGACGTTGCCTCACTTACAATGGTATTGTTTCAAATCAAAATAGCTGAAATAAGGTTTTCATAACACCTTTATGAGATTTCTCATGGCAAATAAAAAGGTGGAAATAACATAGATATCTTACTATTAGGCGGTGGTTGTGGCTGTTTGCTGGAGGATTTGCTCTGCAGTGGTTGCTGGGCTAGGCTATTGAGGGAAGCCAAGCTGGAAAGGGACTGCGACGCCATTGTTGATGGAGACGAGGTTTTGGGAAAACCATATGTAGATGCTGCAATAAAAATGATTCATTTTCACCTGCGTTAATTTAGTCGTAACTTGGTATTTGTCGCCTTCTTTGTTAAATGGTCTATCCGTAACGTAATCAAACGACAAATAACAAATTTTGACGATGTGAACAATGCTCTCTCTTCGATTGTCATTGGTTTGGTATGAATAAAAAAATACAGGGGTTATGGATACTAGACCAATTATAAATGATAAGGAATTGAATCTGGATGATACAACTGTATTTCTTGGAATCACCATGGATTCAAAACTTCAGTGGTCCACTCATATTAACGGATTGGAGAAGAGACTTACGAGGGGAGGTCCAAAAGTTCGTGGAATGGAGGGGATGGAGTGGGGATAGGGGCGCTCGCTTAGTGTCATACTAATTAGGGGCTCATAATTAGTATATAAATGGACTTTCAGCCCTATTGCGTCATTCGTTTACGAACACTCGCCTGCTAAACACGTCAATCCGGAAGAAAACTGAAACTATGGAGAAAATTGAACACCGTGCTGTCATTAAATTCCTTACCAAGCAAGGAAAGAACGCTCAGACCATTTTGAATGAAATGGAAACTGTTTACGGGGAACAGTGCCCTAGTAAATCAATGATTTACAAATGGCATGGTCTTTTTAAACATGGTCGGGAGTCGATTGAAGACGACCCCCGCTCAGGAAGGCCAGTTGAGGCCACCACATCAGACATCGTCGAAAAAGTGGAAAAAATTGTACTGGAGGACACCCGTTTGAAGAAAAAACAGTTTCTGCATTAGTTGGAGTATCAGATACCACAATTTTGCGAATCCTACATGACCACCTGGGTATGACAAAAGTCAGTGCAAGATGGGTACCGAGAATGCTCACGCCGCTTCAAAAACAGCAGCGCGTCGAAGCGTCAAAACATTTTTTGGAGTTGTGTAGCGACGATCCTGGATCGATTTTGGAGCGAATTGTTACCGGCGATGAAACATGGGTTCATCACTTCGAGCCGGAGTCCAAACAAGAGTCCATGCAATGGCATAAAAAGGGGACACCACCGCCAAAGAAATTCAAAGTGTCGGAGTCGGCTGGAAAGTTGATGGCTACTGTTTTTTGGGATTGTGAGGGGATAATACTGATTGATTATAAAGAAAAGGGCGGGACCATAACCGGAGAATACTACGCAACAATACTAGAAAAATTAAAGGATGCCATCAAAGAAAAACGTCGTGGAAAATTGACCAAGGGTGTGTTGCTCTTGCAAGACAACGCGCCGGTTCACAAGAGCAAAGTTGCAATGGCTGCTCTACACACGCATGGCTTCGAATCACTAGTCCACCCACCCTATAGTCCAGATCTGGCCCCAAGTGATTTTTATTTGTTCCCCAATTTAAAAAAAGACTTAAGGGGAAGGAAATTTTCCGACGACAATGAGGTAAAGGAGGCAATTTTGGCTGATTTTGAGGGAAAAGATAAAAAATATTTTTACGATGATTTAGAAAAATTAATTCATAGATCTAATAAATGTATTCAGCTTAAGGGTGATTATATTGAAAAGGAAAAATAAATTTACTGTTTCATTTTTACTAAAACCCTTTCATTCCACGAACTTTTGGACCTCCCCTCGTAGTTCTGCAGCTTACGCGGTTAAAAAAATATGCTCACTAACTGATGTCGATACAGCTAGACTTGTTTATTTTAGTTACTTTCATAGCTTAATGACTTATGGCTTATTATTATGGCGTCATGCTGCTGATGTCGAAACTATTTTCATCCTGCAGAAGAGGGCTATTCGTGCAATTTATAATTTAAAATGTAGGGAATCTCTGAGAGATAAATTCAAGGAAAATAATATACTTAAATTTTAAGTGCATTTAAAAACTATATTATAATAATCGTATGTAATTATACACTTGTGTAAAAAACATTCGGTTTTTAAAAACCTGATTTGTTAATCTAAACAATAGTATAATCATTCATGAACCATTACATCTTTTTCCCTTTACAAATAATATACTAGAATTTATGTATCTCACCCCAATCGTTCATATTATGTTGAGAGTTGGTACTTGTTGAGGGAGTTTTGTCTTTCGATGACATACTCGAAGATGTACTAGTACGTCCTGATCTGAAATTATCAAAATTCATAAATAGATGTTAATGACTAAAGTTTTGTTTGCGTTTTGGAATACTTTGAGAGTACTCTTTGAATATCAAATTTATTCTTCTAAAAGTCAGTTCATCTTTGGCCTGGGCATTCTTAAGGCAGCTTCAATGTCGTAGTTCTTAACAAAAATTTGATATACATGCTTAACCAAGCCCAAGACCAACATGGCTCCGTGATCTTGGAATCTAAAGCATGTCTGTACATGATGCCAGAGGATCCTCTACGTTCCCATTCATGGTAAGGAGTTGTAAAGTTTAAAGGTAAATTGAATAATAAAATAAATCAATGCCGCTACAACCTCTTTAGGCCTTGGCCTCAGATTTCTGAATCTGTTTCATGATCATTTTTAAATCTAATAGGCATGTAGGTGATCAGCCCCCAGTGCCTGACACACGCCGTCGACTTTTCTAAGACATGTCGGTTTCATCACGATGTTTTCCTTCACCGTTCGAGCAAATGTTAAATGCGCACATAGAAAGAAAGTCCATTGGTGCACATCTGGGGATCGAACCTACGACCTCAGGTATGAGAGTCGCACGCTTGAAGCCACTAGGCCAACACTGCTAAAAAAATTGTATAATACTGAGAATAAAAACTTATTGGACATAATACCTTTCATTTCTGCTAGGCTGTTTAGGCGGCTTGTTCTGTTTAAGACCGGAACCCGAAAGAGCGGAAAGGGCTGCATAGGGGTCGTTTAATGGAGATAAGTTAAGTCCAGTAGCCTGCAGTCGTGCTAAGTAATCCTGGGCCGCCAAGTGCGAGGCCATGGACCACCATGCTGCACCTAAAAGGATGCTTATTAAGTTAATTTCATGGCAAAAAATCATGTGTTTATATAATATAGTTTACTTTGAAAGCCTTTTTAGCATGTATTTTTTTTTAATAAGACTAATGTACAGCTCTGTAAGTAGCTGTCTGTAGTAAGTGTGGGTGAGTAACTCCCCACATGCAAACTAACATTATGCTAAATCAATAGATAAATTTTAAAAAATAATATTTTTTTTTGCTCTTTTCACACAAATACTTACTAAGTAAGGGCTACATTGCAGCCCAATTTACCACCAACTACAAATACTGAATTTTTTTAAATCAAATCTAATACGAAAAGAGAGCTTATGGGTTATGAAAATGGAGTAACGCCCAGTGAAACAGAAGAGTTCGATTTCGGGCTGGTAGTCATAGACAATAGAGGAAAAAATATGTATGTCTTATTTGTGGTGGTTATTCAAACATCACAACAAAATATCTATATTATAGCTGACCCGGCAAACGTTTTTTTGCCATGTATATTGTATATTATTTTGAGGAAACATTTTTTAGTTTTTTTAGTTCAATAAAAATAACTATCTACTATAATAAAAAAAAGGGGTTAATCGTAGAGGGGTGAAAATTAAGGGTTGTATGTATTCTTTAATGTCACATACTAAAAAAAAAATATCCAATTTTTTTTTCGATGGACTTATCACGCATAGGGGTTTGAAAGATAGATAATAACCGATTCTCAGACGTACTGAATATGCATAAAAAATTTCATAAGAATCGGTCGAGCCGTTTCGGAGGAGTATGGGAACGAACATTGTGACACGAGAATTTTATATATTAGATTATCGACTTACTAGCAGCGGGATGTAGTCCAAGTGATGCCGCCTGGTTGGCTGCGACACCGAGCGTGGTGGGTGGCGGGTAGCGGGAGCCAAAGCCAAAGAGTGCGGCTTGCGCCTGCGCCTGCGCTTGCGCAGCTGCCGCGTTGCTGGCACCATCTCGACCCCAGTACGCTGAAATAACAAAAAAATGATTAAATAAAACATAATTTATTTTTTAAAGTTCCATACTATCACAATATGGCCTTAAATTAGTTCGTTTGGAATGACTCTAAGATATCGTTAATTGCCAGGGAATCAATGGCTGTTTATGCTTACAATGGTGTCCTGTGTTGCGTCGTACATGTTAAATATATCATTTACTACGTGTAAGTGTATATAATCGATACAATAATAAGTGTATACAATAATTCTAGATGACAACTTTTTAAGGCTTTATTTACATTAGTTTCTTGGTAATGGATCGAAGGCCTATAGAACCAAAGACTATTGCTACCAAATAAAAACTGGGATAACTAAGCTAAGCTCGCAGGATAAATAGAATTGAATATTATTGTGTTAAAACACTACAAATTTTAAATAAAAAAAAACTGGACAGAAATTAATTTAAAAGGAATAATTTATCTCTTATTTATCTTATTCTTTACCTAATACCTAAAAAAAAATTTAACGAATCACCCACATTCATCGTTTATCTTTCCTTATATTATAAAATGATGTTATAAAAGATAATTTACCATTTATTTAACCTTTTTATTTGTTTAATTACTAAGTAAGTATTAAATATCTACTTATTTTCAAATCATAAGCAGTTTATGCACTGATGGAGTTGGGATGATAGGATAGGATTATAAGTTCCTTTTATTACTTTATTGTAAATTAACTAACATAATAGGCCTACATATCTGGCATATGTATAATGAATATAATAATGTTCGTGAGAATAAAGTTCTCGAAATATAACACTCTTTAGACATTCACTGTGATAACTCTTTTTTTAATTTGTAGGATTCCAAAGTCCTAGATGATAAAAGTGCACTATGTTTCAATTATTTAGTCAAGTCAAGTCAAATCTCTATTGCATTCCTTATGTTTATACTTGTTATAATAAGGACCTTGGTTAGGCACAGCAATATTGTGAGAGGGCATGCTTTATTATACTTAATTCTATTCTTATGCATGTTTAATATTATATGTTGTCTATACATTATTTATTTATTATATTTGCTTAGGCTTCACGTTGCGACAAAAGAGTATGTACTTAACATAATTAATGGACTTATGTAACTATGTAAACTAATACTATATACAGAAAATATATTATTATTAAATAATGGCCAATAAAACTGTGAATTAATCTATATACCTAGGCTAGATTGTAGCTAGATTCTGGGACCGAGAAAAATCAAGTACAATTGATAAGCATTTCTGAATAATTAATCCACATTCGCCACTTTATATTAAACTTTTAAATACAAGCTAAGAGGAAGTTCTAAAAATCAAAAACGCTCATCGATTCCCTTGCCAGGCAAAAATCTATTAAGGCAATCTAAAATAGACCCTATTAAGTTGCAATAAGAGCTATAATAAGCGCACTTATTGGCGTGCGTTAGCAACGAAGGCACATTGACCTCGGGGTTATGGTGTTGTGTTCTACATTGGATATTGATTCCTGTGATAATGATATAAGTGCGATTTTGCGGTGAATGTACAGGGCCAGGTTAAACGGGCAAAATGAGTGTAGGAAGGCAGAAAATGTGTTTTATAGTAGATTTAATTTCTATAACTCAGTGGTATGCGTAAAGATCAAACGACATCGTTAACGTTGCCGATTTTTTACGTCGTGGTTTGATATGTCGTCGTTATGATAATATGTATGTGAGATTTAATAGGTTTGTTACATATCTCAATGTACAGCAAAATGTCGTACAAAAGTGCTGTTAAAATTCTGAAAATTTTAATAGTATTCGTTTCTTCAAAACTATCAATAAATCTTTCTTTGTAAACTTATTTATAAGTTTGTTTGACCGTACGAGAACTTGACACTGATTTTTCATTTCACATATATACAGTGTTAACTCTATAAAACGTGCATATTTTGATGTTACAAAGAGTTGTCGTTAAATAGAAATAAGAAAAATTTAATATAATATAATATAAGAATAAGAAAAAGTTTATTTCAGACTTGTGTTAGTAATGACATAAAAATGTACATATTATGTATGTCGTATGATGCCGACAGTTGAGTAAGTTGACTTTATTACGGGTTAGGACAATAAAGCGACAAAAGAACGTACAGAGTTCCGCAGTTTTAACTAATTTTGGCAACTTAAAAAGTACTTTTTATTATTTAATTGTCGTTATTGAGGGTGGGGGTTAAACTATGTAGAGTGTGTCATTGTATGGAAGATAAGCTAAACCAACCAAAGCCGAGTGATTTCGACGCTTTAGGGACTTTATCGTTAAGTCGAGGGACGTTACATGGAGTTTACACTGTATAATATGCCAAATGAAAATAGGATATAAATAATAAGTTTTTTTAATTTGGACAAACCTAACATATTGCTTTACTTTAAAAAACTACGATTGATTATTTTTAGAATCTATCACTCGTCCGACAAAGGATTTTAGATATATCTCGGATTACATTATACATATTTGGTTTTTTTTCTTAATAGGACCGCCAACAACGTCCTTAACCACAACCAGAGAACTTTGCCGGCCATTCAACTAATATTACGTTCTTGATTAGATTCTTGGATTTCTTGGTAGATTTTTACCATGATTAGAGTTTAAAGTATTACCTCCAAAGAGTGCCGAGGGGTCGAACTGACCATCGGGCGGCTGTTTGGCGGCTGCGTCCCCGCCTTCCCCGCTCTCCTTATCCATACCACACCTGGAAAGATACAAACACATAAATAAAATATTCTATTGAATTACAATTTACATATTTTTCATACAATTTCAAATAAGTTTTTTTTTATATGTACTAGGAGGCAAACGGGCAGGAGGCTCACCCGATGTTAAGTGATACCGCCGCCCATGGACATTGCCAGAAAGGCTCGCAAGTGCGTTGCCGGCATTTCAAATATTGGTACGCTCTAAGTTTTCGGCAAAGGGCTATAAAAATAGGCAAAGTGCAGTTGACGAACCCCTGCACTGCCTGAAGGCTTATTTAAGTGCGTTACCGGTTTTTATATTTTATTTAAATGATTTTATCATATTGTATCTTGCGTCCAATCATTTTTCCAATTCAATTTAAACGTATTATTGATAAATGCATCATTTTTAAATTTGTAGTTCTTTTTTTGGATTTTAGGTAGTTTGGAATATTACAAAAATAACATTAAAAAATAGGAAAGGGGTACAAATACAAACATCCTAGACCTTGAGAAATCCGTATCATAGTTTCTTATAAATAATTTAATCAAGGCCGTACGTTTTTATGACTGAGGGGAGAAAGTGTGTCAGTTGACCTAGGTTAGTATTTTGCGTCATCCCAATGATACTGGCGAACTTCTTTTCAGGTTTACAACAATATAATTTATTATTCATTACACAATAAAGGACTCCACTTGTATTGATAATATAATAATCCGGAGTAACGTTTACAGCTTATTCTTGCTTATGAACAACTTTCATTGTGATATTACAGATGCCTCTTTTTTGGAACATAGAGTAATGGTAAGATCCTAATTCTTATGCACTGTATCTAGACTAAACTTCTAAACCTTAAACTTGTAAAGTAAATTTTGATAAAACGGAATGTATGAATTATGAAGCTACTATATCGTTCTTTATCCGTGATCCACAGATTTTTATGAAGAGTAC